ACTAGCAGAGGCTGAGGATTACACCAGGGGAGCCTCTCCAAGGTCAGGTGGGAAGCGGGGGGGGTTCCTTCTTGCACACACCTGGCCCGGCTTTCCCACCCCCTTACCTTTGCCTGAGCCCCTCCTTCCTCCTAGTGGGCTCTCCATTTGTCTGGCCTGTCAGCTGAAGACATACCTATCATTGTCATTATTATTTTGTGATTCTTGTCCTGGTTGTTTAAAAAAAAAAAGTCTTTCCTTGATTTTTTTCAAGCTGTAAAAATTATATCTGCTAATAAAAATTTCAGTCACTTATCATGGCTGTGATAAGCTGAGCACTACTGTGATTAATAGTAACATCACAGGAACATTTAGGGAGGTCCTGAGCCCAGCAGTTCCGAGCTATCCCGCCGTCACATTGCCCATCTTACAGCACCTGCTTGTGCCAGGCCCACCCTCCTGGGGTTTGCAGTTAAATCTCAGATGGATCGGAGCGTCCCTTCCCTTCCCCACCTGAGGTTCTGAGCGGGCCAGGTGGCCTGTGGGGCTGGGCTGGGGGCTGGCAGAGCGGGAACTCCTTCCCCCCAGCCTGCGCTGCGCACCCAGAGGCTGGGAGCCGGGGGCTGGAGGGCAGGCTTCCTCTGTCCCCAGCCCATGCCATCTCCTAGAGCAGCACCCGAGGCTGAGTCGGTGCAGGAAGAAGGATGGATGAGAAGGTGCGGAAGGTGGGCGAGGCAGCACATGGCCTCAGACTGCTCCGTGCCGGCGTCTTTGTACCTCCCGGCCGTTCCTGGGCCCGGGACCCCCTAGGGGTCGGCCCTGCCTCTGGGCATGGAGCCACAGCCTGCTTCCTGTCTGTCCTCGGTGGGAGGGATGTCCTGTGGGGCCCTGTGGACCATGGTCAGAGCCAGGAGCGGGAGGGGGTCTTCAGTCTGTGGGTCGAACCCCGACAGCCTCAGTCTGGATGTGTCACCTCTGGTGAGCCTCTCATACTCTGTGTCTCAGAGTGCCTTTTGGGGTGGTGAGCCTTGGTCTCAGTGGCCCTAAATCCATGGCACGTGGTGTCTTCAGAAGCCATGAAATGAGGCAGAAGAGCTGGTATGGGCAGGTGTGGAGGAGAGAGGGGCCCCTGGGGCCTGGTGGGACCAGTCACAGACACCCAGGCAGGGATGCTGCAGTGGGGATATGAACTGCCAGAATCCCTGGGCAGCTCCTGGGAGACAGCCACTGTAGGGTGGCAAGAAGAAAAAATGGGGTGTTGAGCAATTCTTACAGGAGGGGGACTGCCCGGGCCCTGACCCCAGAGTTCAGCAGGCCAGAGGAGCATCCAGGGCGGGCACGGCTGTGGTGTCCGTCCGGGTTCTCCGGCAGCGTCGGCCTGTCTGGCTGGGGACCCTGTTCAGGGCTTCTCCCCTGTGAGCCCTTTATAAATCCCAGGAGGGGACTGCACCCCCTTCCCCAGCCTGCCTCTCTGAGGTCTTTCCAGCCCCCAATCCTAGGCCCTCGAGTCCTCATCCTCTGTCTTCCTGTGGCACTTCCTTTGTACCAAGCACAAGGCAGTTCCTTCCAAGCTGTCTTAGGACATCTCTCAAGAATGTGCTCAGTGCTGCCCTTGCCAAGAAGCCATCCTGCAGCCCTGCTTCCTTCTACCCACCCCCCGCCCCCCCAGTCTTCCCTTTCTAGCCCTTCCTCGGCCAAACTTGGCCTGAGCGCACCCAGTTTCCTGGCACTGCCTGGCACCCTCCTTCAGTCCTTAATCCCTTGAGGAATGATGTCACACCGACCCCTGGCCTGGTGGCTTCCCCAGTCCTCTGGGGCCTGGTGCAGAGGGGACACTTAGTAACTGGCAAGTGGACACCCACCTTGCTCAGCACCTGCCTGTACCAGGCCACATGGGCGGGGGGGAGCAGAGGGGATCCAGCGGTGAGCAGAAGGGGTGCCAGGGCAACCCTCTATGGTGTGCAGTCGATCCTTAGATACTAGCCCCCCGATCCCTTAGACTCCCGAATTGGAAGAGCAAGTTTGGGTAGTGAGAGACCCCACTCTGTGATCTCTTTGGTTCTGGAATTTCAGGTAGCAAAGGGTTTATCGGAAAACAGATCCAGATCTATAGAGTTCTCGAGTTTGGATAGCGAGGCATGCCTGTAATTGCAGTTGGGTGAAGTGGGGGCCAGGGCTGCTGCCGTCTGTTTGGGGGTACAGGGTGCCTGAGGCCACCACCTCTTTTCCTATTCCATTTTCTGTTTCAGCCCATACCCTCTCCCCTCTCCACCCTCTGCCTGGGGACTCCCCCCCACCCCAGTGCTCGTGCCCTCCACTCCTAGACCCTTGCCCCACAGTCTCACTCCAATAACTTGTCCGCATCCCATTGAGAGGGCTACAGTGGATTTTCTGCTTGCCCCCTCCCCCACCTGGCCCTTCTTAAGAAGTCCAGATACTCCAAGCCTATCAGCTCATCTTTGCCTTCTGGCTCCTAATGGATCACCTTGTTCTGGTTTTCACTTCCTCAGCCTCCCCAGCTTCCTCTCCAACCTACAGCCCACCCACCACCCCCTGCCCCGGGTCTTGGTGCACCTGATGGGATGATAGCATGTTGCCTTGCCCTTTCCGTCCTTCTCCCCAGTCCAGCCCTGGGGCCTTCTAAACCTAGCCACCCCTTGCTTGGATGCAATATCTGGGTTTTGCTGAGAGCATGCTATGGCTTAGACAGACTTGAGTTCGAGTTCTGACCCAGGACAGCAGCTTCCTTCTGGGCCTGACTTCCCAAGGGTCAGGGCAGATTCTGGCCCTTCTGGAAATCATGCTCCGAGGCTGGGCGTACCAGAGGCTGGTCAGGCCTCCCAGAGCTGTGGCTGAAGGACCCTCGAGATCCTGCATGGGGGGAGAATATCTGTTGGGTGTCTGGCTGCTGGGGGCAGAGTCGGGACAAAGCCCTGGGCTGAGGCTGCCTGGCCTGGTGGCTGAGACCCTGTCTCTCCAGTCCTGGGTCTGCAAGCCACCTCGTCCCTAAAATGGGAAGACAATAGCACTGACTCCCTAAGGATTTCATGAAGATTCTTTGGGATCCTGCATGCAGAACTTGCCCGCCCACTGGCTCAGGTTAACGCTAAGTGGTAGTAGCTACGATGATGGTGATGATGATGTGATTTATCAGTATTATTGTCACCTATGATCCCATTTTTTCTCTTTGGCTCCAGTTCATTACCCCTTCTTGCCTGCTCCCCCCAACCCTCTCAGTTCTGCCTCATCATTTTTTCAAAACAATTCCCGTGGTCTTTGAGAGAGTTCTGGTTGTTTATGGTTTTTAAAAAATAGGCATTCAAAGCAAATTCCTCATTTGTTCTCCCCAGATTGGAATCTGGACAGCCATGACCTCATTCCAGGAAAGGGGACCACAGGCAGGGTCTGTGGAGAGGGGTCCTTGGGCCGAGTTCTTCCAGAGGGAGTAGAGGGAGTGAGCTTGCCTGAGACCCTGGGTGGGCATGTGGCCACATGCTTTCAGCCCTCCTCCCTGGCCACCACCTCATAGTGGGGCCCTTGGACTGCATCCCAGCTCCACCACCCACTGGCTATGTGACTTTGAGCCAGTGACTTAACCTCTCTGGGTCTCAGCGCTTCTGGGTCTTCTCTAAAATGGGAATAACACCAGCCCTACACCACAGGGCTTGTGAGAGGATTAAATGAAATGCTGTCCTAGCTGGGTGCTCTTGAGAAGCAGAGACCAGCCGTAGGAGGTGTCTCATCAGCCCCTTCTTTGAGAAAGGGCCAGGTCTTCAAACCTGGAGTCCAAGACTGGCAGAGGTGGCAGGGCCTGTCCACCATGGACTCTAGTCTTAGTGGGCAGGGAACCGAGGCCCAGAGAGGGGAGCCTCGGAGTGAGCTGGCACCACCCCAAAGTCAGGACTCGAGCGACAGCTTCTTGGGATTGGGAAATCTCTCCCAAGGACAGGGCCTCCTTGTCATGGGCCTCAGTTTCATCTGTTATTAGGGAAGCCCCGGCAGTGCTGGTCCTGAGCGTCTGATGTGTGCTGGGCGAGCCCTGGAGGCCACAAGAATCACCTTCTCTGCTCAGAAACGGCTTTGGCAACAGAGAAGCAAATGGCCAGTGGAGGCAAAAAGGTGGCTAACTTGGTAGAGGAGTTAATTTTAGAATGTTTATTTATTTTTTTTTATTGTGGAAGGAATCACGGTTGTAAAATAATTCAAATGCTGTGAAAGTGAATAAAGCAGAAAATGCAATTCACTCGGCCCTGCCATTCCCACATCCAGGGGTCCCACCCAGAACAGTTGGGGAGGGCTGCCTTCCGGGACCTTTTCCTCCGTCTCCAAGCGTAAATAATTTATAGGCACAAATAGGAGTGATTTTAAATGAGGTAATATTCCGCACGCGGTTCTGTAACTCGCTTTTCTTCACCTGGCCGTGTGGGCACCTTCCCCCTGGTGGTACCTGTAGGTTCCCGCACCCCCGGCCCAGGTGCGCCTGGGATGGGCGGAATCAGCATCCACGCATGCGCATCTGGCTCGTGTCTGCTGATTGGCTGGGTGAATACATACACCTGCTCCTCCGGGAGGCGAGCGGTGGTAATTCCTGGAGGAGTGAGCGCGGCATCCGGGGCCCTACGGGAACCCTTAAAATTGTACGCCCTCAAGGCCTTCCCGACTTCCAGCACCCAGGGCTCCGAGTTGAGGGGTCTGTTCCCCCACACCCTGACTGGTCTGCCTGCAGCTGCTGGGTGGCTGGGAGGCTCGGCGTCTTTTCACTTGTCTGTTGGTGTCTCGTGTTTTCTTTCTGGTGATTTTCTCTGTCTCCGTCGTTGCTGGTTTTCCTGTGCGAAAGTCCACCCACTGTGTGCAGGGAATGCACCACTCTGGCCAGGAACGCGAGGCCGGTGAAGGCAGAGCACCGGAGCCCACAGCTTCGCAAACAGGAATTACGGAGCTTGGCTGATGCCCCTGGGGCAGGGCAGCTGCTCGCAGGGAACCGTGGCGACCTCACAGCCCTGTTTCTTCTTCCCTTTCAGAGAAAACCGGGAAGATCCTGACGGAGTTCGGCCGTTTTTATGAGGACCAGTATGGCGTGGTTCTCTTCAACAGCATGCGCCACGAGATCGAGGGCACGGGGCTGCCGCAGGCCCAGCTGCTCTGGCGCAAGGTGAGAGGGGCTGGGCCGGGTGCAGGGCGGGCTCCCGCACGGCCTCAATTTACCATTGTTGCCTGGATGGTCTCTAGGGGCCCCACCCAGCGTCTTTTTTCTTTTTTTAAGATTTTATTTATTTATTAGAGAGCACAAGAGCGAGCGAACGAGCAGGGGTGGGGGCAGGAGGAGGGCTGAGCAAGAGGGAGAAGCAGACTCCCCGCTGAGCAGGGAGCCCGATAGGGGACTCGATCCCAGGACCCCAGAATCAGGACCTGAGGCGAAGGCAGACGCTTAACCGACTGAGCCACCTAGGCGCCCACCACCCAGCTTCTGAATCGGCAGATAACCCAGTGGCCTTGCCAAGACCCCTCCATTCACCATGGGGTACGGGGTACTCCCTGCCAGCTCAACTCCTCCATTGGTAGAGCTGGGGCTCTGGAATCATCTTGACATGCCTGGGTTCAAGCCCAGCTGCTCCTTTTTTTTTTTTTTTTTTTTTTTTAAGATTTATTTATTTCAGGGGCACCTGGGTGGCTCATTCGTTGAGCGTCTGCCTTCGGCTCAGGTCATGATCCCAGGGTCCTGGGATCGAGCCCCGCATCGGGCTCCCTGCTCCGCCGGAGGCCTGCTTCTCCCTCTCCCACTCCCCCTGCTTGTGTTCCCTCTCTCGCTGTGTCTCTGTCAAATAAATAAATAAAATCTTTAAAAAAATAACAATATTTGAGAGAGAGAGAGTGTGCACACATGTGTGCCCATGAGAGCGGGAGGAGGGGCAGAGAGAGACGGAGAATCCTCAAGCAGACCACGGAGCCCGATGCGGGGCTCAATACCAGGACCCTAAGATCATGACCTGAGCCAAAATCTAGAGTTGGACGCTTAACCGACTGAGTCACCCAGGTGCCGCTCCTCTTAAAGGCCTCATACCCATGAGCAAATCACGTCACCTTGTGGATCTTAGTTTACTCATCTGTGAAATGGGGTAAGAACACCTGCGCAGGGTGTTCTTGATGAAGGAATCAGCCAGCCGAGCGCCTGGAGCAGGGAAGGTGCTTGGTGAGCCCTGGCTGATAGTGTCAGCATCTCCAGGCTTGTCATTAGCCTGTTATTAGCAGGAATGTGTTTGCCCAGTAAGTATTTGTGGAGGGACTGGAAGCTGTGTGACTCCAGCCCATGGGTCAGCACGGACTGAAGGAGGCACACAAGGCCTCCTGGGAAGGGCCCTGCGGTGACTGGCCCCCGAGTGGGGCCGGAGGCGGGACTGGCAGAGAGGAGGTGAGGGACAGTTGGAACACAGGCTGGGCCGTGAGTGCCCAGCTGGGAGCTGGCAACCCCAGGCCTGAGCCTGTGGGGTGAGGAGCTAGCCCTTCTTCGGGGGGAGGTACAGGGGGCCCTGAGTCAGCCCAGGGAAAAGCCAGGGCATTCCCCCGTTCAGTGACCTTCACCTTCTACCCCCTGGACAGCCCAGGGGTGGCAGAGGGAAGGGTGACAAGGAGGAAGGGTGTCAGCCCCACCTCTTCTGCAGGTGGCCTGCCCCGAGTGGCCCAGCAGCAGGCGGGAGGCTACTTGGTCCTGGCTGGTGGCCCCAGGGCGGAGTGCCCGCCAGCTTCCCTCTGGGGAACTGGCCTGGCTGAGCTGATCCCTCTGGGAGTGGGCTCCAGACCAGGTCAGCCAGGCCACTCCAGTGCCGCCACTCGGGTCCTTTGTGGCTGAATTCCGTGCTTGGTGGACTCCAAAGCTGCCCTTGGTCACCCGGCCGCACCTCCCCACCCAGTCCTGTCGGCTTCCTCCCGGCTGCCGGGGTCAGCCTGTTCTCAGGCTTCGCGGGCCCGGGACAGGACTGTAGGGGAAGGATGGAGGCTGGAATGCTGTGGTCTGGGGGGAGAGAACTCGGGGGACCGGGCCCAGAGCTTCTTGGTAGCTGCTGGCTTGGGCAGTTGAGTCAACCCTCGGGCCCGTCTCCTGACCTGACAGGTGGGTACCTCCTGCGGAGGGCTGTGGAGAATGAGGGGAGCAGGTGGGGTGGTTACTAAGGGATGCAAGTCCTGACTTGCCGGGTAATCTCCAGCCCATGGCCTCCCCTTCCCGAGCCTCAGTTTCTCTGCCTGTGAACTGATACCCAGAACCGCCATCATGGGCCAGAGGCATGAGAGTAGCCTGGGGAGGGAGTGGGGATGTCCTGGGGCCTCTGAGGCCGGGTGGGATTCGGATCATGCGGCAAGGGACCAGTATGGGGCTCACTGAGGTGGCAGAGCAGAAAGCAGGGCCTCAAAAGGCTCCAGACTTGGGAGGGTTGGGGTGGTTTCCTTCTTGTCCCCACCCTCTCCCAAACCCAAGTGGCGGAAGATGTGTCCACCTACCATGAGACCAAAGGGGCTGGAGCTGGCTTTCGGGACGTGTTACCGTTTGTGTCTTCTCAGTGGGAAGGACAGCTGGAGGCATCACCTGAAAAGAGACAAGTGGACCCATGGTCAGGGCCACACACTGACTGAGCCAGGGCAGGTGCGGGGCTACGCTGGTCCCACAGACACTCGGGAGACAGACCGAAATACACGACAATCTGGGTGCCACGAAGGAGATGACAGAGTGAACTCAGCCTGGGTGGGGTGTCTGGCCTCGTCTGGGTGGCCCACTAGGGCTTCTTGGAAGAGGGGCCATCTCCGCTGAGGACCTGCCGGGAGGGGAGAACATCCGAGTGAGGGAGCAGTGTATACAGCTGGGCCTTTCAGTGGCTCGCCCAGGATGGTGGAGGCAGGATGCGAGCCAGGTTCCAGATTCCTGGCTGGGGTGGAGGGCAGGCCAGGGCTCTGTGCAGAGCCTCGGAGCATCCCGTGACCCTTTGTGTCTGGTCCCTTGGTGTCGTGGCCCCCTCCCCACCCTGTGACAACAGGGCCGAGGTGGTACCCGGAGGTGTGGCCTGGACTGGGTGTCTGGCACGTGCCCATGTGTGTGGTGTCACAGGCGGCCCGGGTCCCAGTGACCCAAGACAGAGTGGTGGTTTCTGACGGCACGAGGCTCGAGAGTCACGGCGGGAGGGACATCTGTAGTAATGCTTTAATACCCACTGTAGGAACACTGCAGTGACACGTCAGTAAGAGGAGTAAAAGGAAATCACCCCCAATCCCTGAAAAGCAGGGATTTTTGGTCCCATTTTGCCACTCAGGAAACTGACCATTGTGATAAATCAGGATAATATCATAATAGAAATAACAATGTTAATTGTCATAATACCAATTGTTTTTATTAGAAATAATACAGTAGCAGTAGTAAGAGTAAAAAAACAGAAATCGTGTTAAAAATAGCAGTTATGCTATGTGGGCACTGCTCATCCAGCTGGCTCGACATCGCTTGAAGGGGTTAGACTTATGTCCACACCTGCACTGTGGACACTGAGGCTCAGAGAGGTGGAGCTGCTTGTCCAGGCTCCCGCCGCATGGGCGATGGGGCTGGGGCAGGGATCGGGGCCGTCGGAACTGGGGTCTGTGCTCTAACCATTCGCCACCCAGCGAAGGTTCCCAGCGCAGCATTGGAGAGCTTTGCAGAGTCCAAAATATTTTGCCTGGGCTGGCAGGTTCCGTTTCATTTCCTGCAGGCCTTCCAGTGGAAACATGACTCTGCCATTTGAAAGTCTTAAAAATAAAATCCAAACCCGCATGCAACCGCCCATTACGGGCTGCCCCAGGATCTGGGGGTGGACTCCCGAGGGGGCGGGGGGGTGGTTCTGGGAAGGCCTGCCCGGGGCTCCTGATGCCCCTGATGCGGGGCTCCTGCCCTGAGCTAGGAGGAGGACCAAACCGGGGGGCCTGGGGAGAGTGAGGGTCTTACCAGGGTGTCAGGAGAGCTATCTGCTCTTTCTCTCTAGAAAAGATGGGGATTTGAGAGCTGTGTTTGAGAGGAGGCCTCTGTCTAAATATAGCCCACTGAGCATAGCTCTGTGACTCGGGCAAAGCCCACTTGTATGCGGTGGGGTGGGGGGTGGCGGGGGGACCATTTTCTTTTCCTGTAAATATTTTTATCCCTGGGTAGGAAGCAGTCGTGGGGTCCTATTGTTTGAGTACAATGGGCCCTCGTTTTCCAAGAGTGTTTTGGCATTTCCCCTTGAAGAGTAGCAGGGAGGTTGCTGGGGAGAGGGGGCCCCTGTGAAGACACAGGGCCTTGGGGGTGGGCAGCTTGGGACCTAAGGCTCCCACCTGACTCCAGCTGCAGGGACAGACCCAGAAGCTGAGCAGGGAAGCTGGGAAGGGTTAGGCACTGCTAATGATAATACTTTCTCCTGTTACTACATAGGATATGTGTTTATTTTTGCAAAAGGCTCCATATTTATTGCAGAACAGATAGAAGCTATTGAAACTCCACTCATCCAGGAGTAAGCCTGCCCCCTGTCGCCTCTGTATCTCCCTTTCCTGAAACTTCCCTGTGTGGGTTTGTTCAGGAAACATGCTCTCAGGCATGGCCATCCCTTCTCCCCAAATAAGTCAGCCTGGGGAGCTGGGAGACTGACACAGCCCGAGGAATCCCAGCGGCGGTCACGGAGGCTCCTGCATATCCTGAGCTGAGCAGACTGTCAGGTGCGCGTGATCCTGGCACGCGGTGTCTTATGGAATCCTCAAGATGCCTGGATGAAGTCATGGCTGTCCCCATCCTCATGGTACAGATGAGGACACTGAGGCACAGACAGGTGATGTGACAGGCCCGAAGTCACACTGAGTCAGGTGGAGTCAAAGCTAAGGCTTTGCGAGGAAGGTCTGGGTGTTTCTGCTGCCCACATTGGTCATCCGTCTGCCAGGATGCTGGTCCAACACTGAACCCTCCAAACTGAGGTCCCCTCCAACCCCACCCAAATTCATGGAGTTCATCTTATTAGCTGTCAGAGCCAGGGAGGTTCTCTGCAGCCACCTTGGCCAAGTTTTTGTTGCCCTCAGGGGAAACAGGCCGAGAGCAGGAAAGAGACTTTCCCAGGTGCCGGGGCCTTCCCCGTACTGGCCTATGGACACTTCCCGTCCTGCTGGTGTAGCTGCGCTGCGGTGGTGGGTGGATGGGAAAGCAGCCTGCCGTGGGCTGCAGAGACGCGTCGCAAGGTAGTCGTGCCTGTCTAGGGCCAGGACAGAGTGGGAGACCTTGGTCCTGGCTGGGCCCCGAATGCTGGTGCCTGGCCTGGGCTCAAGTCCTGGCATCGCTGTGGCTCTGGCTGGACCTTGGGGAAGCTCCTTTGCCCTGAGCCTCACTCTCCTCATCTGTCACATGGCTAAGATGCAGCCCTGCCTCAGAGGAGGACTCGGGGAGATCGGGATGGGGGATGTGCTCAGCCCCCCCTTCTTGGGGGACCCCATTGCCCGGCTGGGCTGTGGGGGAGCCCGGCCTCACTCCCCACTCCACCCCACCCACAGGTGCCATTGGATGAGCGCATCATCTTCTCTGGGAACCTCTTTCAGTACCAGGAGGACAACAAGAAATGGAGGAACCGCTTCAGTCTCGTGCCTCACAACTATGGGCTGGTGCTCTACGAGAACAAAGTGGTGAGACCCCCCCCCCCACCTCTACTCTGCTCCTTCTCTGCAGCCCCCACCCCCAACCTGCTTGTTCCGCTGGCTTCCTATAAACAGCCCTGCTCTGGGGCTCCCCTTTCACTTTGCCTCCCCACTGTAAGCCACTCGCCACTAGCCCCTACCCACCTCAAATCGTCCAGTCCCAGGGCCAGAGCCCCTGCTCCCTCACCCCCCAGCCTCCTTGCTGGCTGGGCTTCCTGCAGCTCTCCAACTGCTCCCATCCTTGCTCTTCAATGGTCACAACCAACTGCTGACACAGGAGTCTGGCCATTCCCTTCCTCCACTTACCCCAGGGTGGCGGTCCCATCTTTTTCCTTCCTGATTCCTCTGCCCCTCTGGCAACCCCTACTGCCTAGTGGGTAAGTGTCCTGCCCATTGTTCCTTATCTTTGCCCTGGGCCCTTGGGGAAGCCCCCCGTGGTTGAGCCACAGACCCAATTTCTTCTACCATACATTTCTCCAAAGTAGCAAAGGACAGGCCTGAGTGCCCTCTGTTCAAGGAAAATCACGGTTAAAGAAATGTAAACAGGGCGGGAGCAGCCTGATGGCCCCTGGCAGGGCGTCTCAAACTGGTAACCGGCATCAGAACCACCTGGTGGGCATATGACACAGGTTACTGGGCCTACCCAGTTTGATCTGGGTCTGAGCAGGGCCGATAGTTTGCATTTCTAACAAATTCTCAGGTGGGGCTGATGGTGCTGATGACCTAGGACCACACTAGGCAAATCCGTGCCCTGGAGGTCCTGAGCCATCCTGGAGCAGCGTGTTGGGTGGTGACACCTAGTGGCCGGCGGCAGCACGGCAGCCCTGCTATATGAGCTACTACGTTAGAGCCACTTTTTATTTTATTTTATTTTTTTAAAAGATTTTTATTTATTTGACAGAGACACAGCGAGAGAGGGAACACAAGCAGGGGGAGTGGGAGAGGGAGAAGCAGGCTCCCTGCAGAGCAGGGAGCCCGATGCGGGACTCGATCCCAGGACCCTGGGATCATGACCTGAGCTGAAGGCAGTCGCTTAACCAACTGAGCCACCCAGGCGCTCGTTAGAGCCACTTTTTAGCCACTTGGGTGTAAGAACGCAGTGTCCAGACCTAATTCTCCTCCAAAGGGGACTCGTGTGGAGCTCAGAACCTAGGAATTTGCTGGACAGTGCAGGGTCATGGTCAAAGACTCTGGACCCAGGAGGCGCACAGACCAGGGTTATGTCCTAGGTTGGCTGCGTACGGCCTGTGTGAGCTCGTGGCTAACGATGGTACTCACCTCTTGGATTGTGAGGATTTTGTGAAAGGAAGCAATGCAGTGCCCTTAGCACGGTGCCTGGTGTGTAATAAACGCTCACACTCAGCTCGTGGTAGCTGCTGCTAATAGGTAAGGCTTCCTGCGTCTGGCTGTGAGGCCCCCAGCTAATCATATCGTGTGGCTCGTCTCACGCAGTCCCACACAGCCCCGTGGAGTAGGAGCTATTGTTGCCCTGGTTTAACAGATGAGGAAACTAAAGCATAGGAGCTGAAGGAGCTTAATGTCCGCATCACACAGACGGTGTTCAGTGGAGCTGGGATTTGAGCCCAGAGCCTGGACTCCGGTCACTACACCAGGTGGTCTCTAATCACCGCAGCGGGTGGGCTCCTCCTCTGCCTCCCTCTCTCCCTCCTCCCCCTCCCTTCCCTTCCTCCTCCCTGCCTCAGGCAGGCCACACTGAGAGGGCCCTGGAGCCAGAGTTGGAGATGGGGCTTAGGCTTGGACCATCTCTCTTGTCCCTTCCTCAGGCCTATGAGCGGCAGGTCCCACCCCGGGCTGTCATCAACAGTGCAGGCTACAAAATCCTCACCTCCGTGGATCAGTACCTGGAGCTTGTTGGCAACTCCTTACCAGGTAAAAGAGCCCCCCCCGCCCCGTCCCAGGCCGAGATGCCCTGCTTAGGCCCAGGAGGTGGCCGGGGGAGAGGGCAGTCCTGATCCCAGAACTCCAGGCTCCACGTTTGCAGAGAGAATGGCCAGGCCTCGAAGGGACAGCTCATGTCCTCAGAGGGGAGGCTGGGAGAGGGTTTGCAGGAGGCCACCCAGTGAACTGGGACTGGACTGGTGTTGACTCCCACCTGCGTGCCTGCTTCCTGAGCCTTATAGTCACAGCTATGCCGTGGGGGCCCCTCCCTCTGCCCTTCCCACCTCCCTGAGGCCTTGCGAGCCCCCTGGAGGAGATGACCCAGGTGGCCCTGCTTTGTACACTGTGGAGTCAGCTCTGCATTTGTGCGGAGTTATTCTAGGTGTCCTGTTTGCACCCCACCCTGTCGGAGGCTCCCAGAAGCCTTACAGGAGCACATCGGCCTCCCGGGTGATCCCAGGGAAACCAGGGGGGTGGGGAAGTAGCCGATCTGGGGGGCAGCCTGTGCCCCCAGATGGGGCTTGGGAATAGAGCGCCCTGTGTGGTTGAGGGCTCAGCGAGAGCCCAGCATTCCTGGATTCCAGCCCCGACTCTGGCTTTGTTTTTGTTGTGTCTTCACCGGCAACTTGGCACTGGGAGGACTGACCTTGGGGTGTTGTGTAGACCCTGTGAGGTGCTGTGTGCACCCAAGCCCCACACCAGGGATGCAGAGCCAGGGCTTGAAGAACTGTCATTGTGTTATTAACAGTGGCGAGGTCCCAGCCCAGGACCACTTATCTCACTGGATCTCGAATATCCGTGGGGACAAAATTGAGAAAAATCTCCTTTTATTTATTTTCTGTCCCCCACCACCCCAGCCCTCCCCCCCCCCCTTGGGACATTTAAGCCACACTTTGGCCTCCACAGCTGAAATCTGGAGGGAAACCCAAGAAGGTAATGCTCAGCCTCTGAGCCTAAGGGCTCTGACCCGTGTTCCTTGTGCTGGAGGCGTGGAGTTTGGAGGCTTTCCCCAGATGCAATGCCAGCTCTGGGAAATGGGTCTAAACAGATGCCGGGGGATTCTGAGGTCCCTTTAGCTGGGCTGTGGGGGATGCAGTGACAAAGAAGCATGCTGCCTCCCCACTGACTTGTCTGGGCTTCAGCCGCCCCTGGGAGCTGGGCCCAGGGATCCGCCGCCTGCCGTCCCCCGCAGACAGAAACTGCAGAGGGCGGCGGCTCAGCGGGCGCTGTCTCCGCAGGGACCACGTCAAAATCGGGCACCGCCCCCATCCTCAAGTGCCCCACGCAGTTCCCGCTCATCCTCTGGCACCCTTCCGCCCGGCACTACTACTTCTGCATGATGACGGAAGCCGAGCAGGACAAGTGGCAGGCGGTCCTGCAGGACTGCATCCGGCACTGCAACAATGGTGAGGGCCCCTGGGGATCGGCGGCGGCGGGGGGGCGGGGCCGGGGGCACGCGCCGGGGGCGACACCTAGTGGCTGGGTGTGGTGCGGCAACCCTGCTCTGCGAGCTGTTCTCCGGTTCGGGCCGGGGTCGTAGGAAAGCCGCCGCGATGTTGCCTTTTAACCTTCTTCCTTGAAGAAAACAGTTCTGTCCTGCTCGGAGAAAATTGGGGAGATTGTTCTCAGAGGTCGTTGAGCCCTTGGACCCTGCGGCACAGAATCACAGTCCCGATTCTGCCCCTTCCCAGCAACATGACTTGAGGAGACCAGCTTACCTCTCGGAGCCTGTATAAAATGGGGTAATAACCCCTCCCGAGTCTTAGGGTGTTTGTAAGGATTCACAGAGTCTGCCCGATGCTTGGTGTAAAGACTTCGGTTATTTATTCATTTATTTAATTTCTTTTAAAAGATTTTATTTTATTTATTTATTTTTTTAAGTCTTTTTTTTTTTTAAAGATTTTATTTATTTATTTATTTATTTGAGAGAGAGAATGAGAGACAGAGAGCATGAGAGGGAGGAGGGTCAGAGGGAGAAGCAGACTCCCTGCCGAGCAGGGAGCCCAATGCGGGACTCGATCCCGGGACTCCAGGATCATGACCTGAGCCGAAGGCAGTCGCTTAACCAACTGAGCCACCCAGGCGCCCTATTTATTTTTTTTTTTTTAAAGATTTTATTTATTTGAGAGAGAATGAGAGACAGAGAGCACGAGAGGGAAGAGGGTCAGAGGGAGAAGCAGACCCCACGCCGAGCAGGGAGCCCGATGCGGGACTCGATCCCGGAACTCCAGGATCATGACCTGAGCCGAAGGCAGTCGCTTAACCAACTGAGCCACCCAGGCGCCCTAACAGATTTTATTTTTAAGCGGTATCAACCTGCAGTGTGGGTCTCGAACCCACAACCCCCCCAGATCAAGAGTTGCACACCCCACTGACTGAGCCAGCCAGGCGCCCCAGGACTTCTCTTGTATCATTTGTTGCCTTACCCTGACCTGTAGGGTAGCCTGGCAGTTCATGTCCTTTCTCAGGGCCTCAGTGTTCCCTTCTGTCAAGTTCTGAGGTCTCTTTCCGCTCACTCATTTGTTTAACAGACGTTTTTAGTGTCTGGGCGCGGAGGCGGCAGCCAGGGAGCCAGACCCGGGTCCTGCCCCTGTGCTGCTGGCAGCCCCGTGGGGGGGGGGGGGGCGCAGATGTTAAGCAGGAGGAGCAGCTGTGCCGGGTGCTGGGTGGGAGCCACCCCGAGAGCCTGGAGGGTGTGTATGTGCTGGGGGCTGCTGATCCTGTGTGTGCAGAGGGTGGGCAGCTGAGACCTGAAGGATGAATGGTCCTCGAGTAGGGGGAGGAGCGTTCTAGCCTTGAGCGCAGACGGCAGCCTGGAGGTGGGGACAGTTGAGAGGAGTTGCATGAAGGCTTGCAGTGGGGGAGGGTGACCCAATGCGCTGGGGGGCACTGGGGTCCAGTTCAGAGGGCCCTGCAGGGCCCTAAGGAGTTTGATCAAAAACGGGGACAGCGGGGCCCTGAGGGTCTTGGTGCTCTCGCGGAAGGAACAACCTGTGCTGAAACCTGAACCTCCTTCCTGGTGACCTGGCCACCGCACATCGGTGCGGTGGCCCTCCCTGCCCGGCATGCCTCCTGTGGTGGGGGGTGGACAGCGTGGGCACCTGGAGGCCCGGCTGCCGGGCTGACTCGGGTCGCCCCTCCCATCCTGTGTTCTGCAGAGCTGCCTCTGGTCTGGAATCTGTCAGGTGGGAGGAACCGGGCCTTCAGTCAGGCCAACCCCTGTCACCTGGGCCAGGCCTTGCCACCCACAAAAGGTCTCCTATTCCCAGATCCCCTGGGGCTGTGGGGCCAGGGTTGGGCGGAGGCCATCTGGGCTCTGGCTGCCTGGCCTGGGCACCCTCCCCGCTCGTCCCTTCTTCCTCCCTCCCTGGCCCAGCCCTGGCCCAGCCCTGCCCTCTTCAGGTTTCCAGGGCTAATGGCTGACCTGGCAGGGCCACCCCAGGTCGGGGGTGGATTCCCCATGTGCACAATGCGAGGGTGCCAAGCTTGAGCTCGGTGGGATTCCTGGGAGGGCTAACTGAGCTGGTTTGGGGGGAGCTCTTGGCCCTGTGCCTAGCACAGCTGGGAGCTCACCTGGGAGGCTGAGGGGAGCCCCGTGGGTGGGTGCGGGTGCTGTGGGCAGGAGGGGGCGGGGAAAGAAGGGGCAGCCTGCTGCTGGTTTTAGAGGAGCCTTCCTTCTACTCTGAGGACTGTGGGAAAGTTCTCCGCTTCCTCTAGCTTGGAGGCTGGGCCTGGAATTTGTGGAGCCTGGAATTGCTCACTCCGGGGGCTGCCAGGAAGTGGGGGGTGGGGAAGGAGGCCAAGCTGGGGGGACGCCAGCTCGTCCCAAGGCCCCCCTTACATCCTGCATTCCTGGAGCAGCGGGGGGTGGCAAGAGGCTGTTGGGGCACTGAGCTGAGCCCGCAGGGTGGGCCTGGGCTCTGGAGGTCAAGGCCTCTTCCTGTCTGACTGCCATCCCCCTTAGCCTGCTGCTTGGGACTGAGGAATGCAGTTTCCTTTCTCAGTCTGACCCTGACGACCCCACAGGCAGGAAGCCTCCAGGTCTGGCTGGAGCCCTCCTGCTGCCATTCCCTAGCTGTATGTCCTCGGACCAGTAACGTGTCATCTCTGAGCCTGTCTCCTCCGTCAGGACAAGTGGGACTGAGAACAGCCATCCCTCACGGGGCTGTTTGAGGATGAGATGAGGGAATGTGTGCGAGGTCTCAGCCCCGGCCTGGTGTCTTGGTCTGCTTGGGCCGCCATGACAAAGCGCCGCAGACGGGGTGGCTTACACAATTGTGGAGGCTGGAAGTCCAAGATCAAGGTGTCAGCAGGTTAGTTTTCTTCTGAGACCTGTCTCCTTGACTTGCAGATGGCTGCCTTCTCCCTGCCCTGTGTCTTCACACAGTCCCCGCTCTGTGTGCACGGTTTGCATCCAAATTCCCTCTTATAAGGACACCAGTCGTACTGGATGGGGACCCACCGTAATGACCTCACTTTACCTAAATTACTTCTTTAAAGGCCCTATCTCCAAATGCAGTCACCTTCCGAAGTACTAGGGGTTAGGTCTTTAACAAAGGAATCTGGGGGGACACCCCGCAGCCCCTAACAGCCAGGCCCAGGGGAAGAGCTCGGGAGGGAGACCCTGTCTTGTATGAGACTCAGTGGCCCAGCATGCAGTGTAGAGCCGTCCTGAGGGTCTGAGCCCAGGGCCCAGGACATCACGGCCTCCTGCCTGCTGCCCCCGCCCCACATCTCGCCTCCCTGCCCCTGGGGAGCAGCCCTGCCTTGCCAGCACCCCCGGCTTATCTGTAGAATGTAAAGGCCCTCGGGTGAGATCGGGTGCAGGTACCGCACAGCCCACGTTTTCCGTGCAAAACCTGGTCTCTGGGAGACCGTGCTCCTCCTTCCTCCCCTGGCCCGGATGGGCAGCAGCCACCTCGGGCTCTGCACGGAGCACCCCTGCTCTGCTGCACTCACCCCTGCCCCACCTCGGTCCCTGAAACGCAGCGGGGAGACCCCCCCTGCTCCCACCCCGTCCAGGGAGCTGCTGCTGCAGGATGGCCCTGGGCCTGTTCCCCCGCGCGGACGGGCGCCGACTCCTGCGGTCAGCCGGATGTGAGGGGGTCCTCCCCACGCCCAGAGGGGCTTTCTCTCTGCAGGGATGACTCAGCCTGTAGTCACTGCCGTGGGAGCTGGGGTTTTGGAGGCACAGACTGCCGTTTCCCCTTCCTCGGCTGCGGGGACACAGTGGTTGGGGGCATGTGGCCAGGGTGGCCGCCCCACTGCCTGGCTCCGCGCGCATAACCCTGTTCTTCCCCAAGTCCGATTTTGCAACTTCCTGCCGCTTGCCTCCCCTGGCAGCCGCTCCCGGGGGCTGTGCCTTGTTCCCTGACCCACCTTGCTGGCAGGGGCAAGGGGGGCAGGCTCCCGCGGGCCGCCGCCGGCACCAGCAATAACACGAGTCCCGGACTGGCGTTTCGTACTCGGACCGGGACACCGTGGCGAACGAGGCCGACGTGGGGCCTGCCCGCGGGCGGCGAGAGCACCCCGTCGCTGCTAGGTGCTGGGTTCTGCTCAGGGGCCCCTGCCTGACCAGTTCCCAGCCCGTTCCCACGGCTGCAGCCTCACCGGGTCATTGTTCCCACTGTTCAGAAGAGGGAACTGAGGCCCTTAGGGTTCAGGGATCTGGAGCAAGACTTGGCAAGCTACAGTGCACAGCCCAGAATTGGGCCCATTACCTATTTTTGCAAATCAAGTTTTACCGGCTCGTTGGTTTCCAGATTGGCTGCTTTGGTGGCTCGGTGGCAGAGTGTGGTGGTTGCGACAGAGATCATCTGGTCTGCAAAGCTGAAAATATTTACTGGCTGGCCCTTTGCGGGGAAAGTTGGCAGGCCCCGCTGTAGACAGTAAGGGGAGGGAGTGGGACTGGAATGAGGACCTCGGGGTTCCTTGAGCACCCTCTCTGCTGTGCCGGCAGGGTGGGGTGACCTCGGGTCCGGGCTCTACCACTCACTGCCCTGGGACCCCCAGCCAGTGGCCTGACCTTGCCGCCTGCCTGTTGATCTGTGGAGTAGGGCTGAGGGCAGTTTGGGGTGGTTGGGAAGATTTAAGAAGATAAGGAGCATACGAAGGAGACTGCCTCGCTGCTGTCGGGGAGGGTCATTACCACGGTCACTGTCGTTGCAAACACGACCGCCACCCTCTCGAGGCAGTGGGACTGCAGGTGGGGGTGTGCATGTGTCTGCACTTGGGGAGGGGCGTTCGGGCAGTCAGTGGTCTTGGTGAAGGCCACTGGGCCATCTCACCGACCTCCTCTCTCCCTCCCTCTCCGGAGCAGGGATCCCGGAGGACTCCAAGGTAGAGGGCCCTGCCTTCACGGACGCCATCCGCATGTACCGCCAGTCAAAGGAGCTGTACGGCACCTGGGAGATGCTGTGTGGGAACGAGGTGCAGGTGAGGAGACTGTGGAAGTCACCAAAGGTCCAGAGAGTGGGGCCAGGCACAGAGATTCTGGGCTCAGGGTGCTTCCAGCTTGCAAGGACAGTAAGATCACTTTGGACAGGTGGAGAGACTTTATTCCATCATTTACTGATCACCTCTCCTGACCGGGGGGCTGGGGTGCTTCTGTGAATAAGAGGGATGTGGCCTTGGCCCTTACGCTCTATCTAGCAGGAGAAACAGGCATTTGACAAATAAACACACGTACTTTGTGCAGGTGAGGGGGGGGGAAGGGGGTGTCGTATTCCAGACAGGGAGGCAGCAGGTGCAGAGGTCCTGAGGTGGGACCCGATTCTGAGGATCCTGCAGGTCCCTCGAGCAGGTAAGCTGGGACCTGGGGGAATGATGCTCAGGAGAGAGGGCAGTGGAGACATGGAGCCAAGGCCAAGTCCAGGGGAGGTGGGGCTTGGGTAGAATGCGGAGACGAACCTGCCAGCCGGACATGCTCTAACTCCTGCCCCGGCTTGTGCCTCCTGGTCCTAGATCCTGAGCAACCTGGTGATGGAGGAGCTGGGCCCCGAGCTGAAGGCGGAGCTCGCCCCACGGCTGAAGGGGAAACCGCAGGAGCGACAGCGGCAGTGGATCCAGGTGGGTGCGTGCGGGCGCGGAGGCGGGGGTGCGGTGCCTGCTTGGCACCCACAGTCTGGCTCTGACGCCGCCGCGCTGCCCACAGATCTCCGACGCCGTGTACCGCATGGTGTACGAGCAGGCCAACGCGCACTTTGAGGCGGTGCTGTCCAAGCTGCAGCTGGCCCGGCCAGCCATGGAGGCGACCATCCGCACGGACATGGACCAGATCATCACCTCCAAGGAGCACCTGGCCAGCAAGATCCGAGGTAGGCCGGCCACCTGCCGCCTTCAGGGGCCAGGGCGGACCTCCCGTCTGTACTTCTCACGCTAGTGACTCGATTCATTTGGTCATTTTAAAAAATGAAAGCAAACCTGAGCCGTTGCTCTTCCAAACTCTGGGAGTTGTTTTGTAGCTATTTCTGCAAACCCAGACCTCAAAGATGTCCGTTTGTTTTGTCAAGGAAGTTCAAGCGTTTTGCTCAGCATTGGAGGGTCACGGACTTGACCGTTGGTTCGTAGGCATCAGTTTAGCTGTGATGATTCACTCGGATCACGGCTCAGTATTCGGGGTTAGCCTGTGTTCCTTCTGTTCCCGGCCCCCTGTCCCCTGCCCTGCACATGGGCTGCGTGCAGTTTCCGAGTGTGTCGGTTGCCTGAGGCTCCTCCTCTCCTCGCTGTGCTCGTGAGCTGGATAGAACACAGAGAGCTGACTTTTATCTGGTGCAACAAACATTAGCTGGGCAGAGGAGAGGGACCTCGTGACACCCTGGGGGGGGAAAGGCCTTTGTCCAAGTGTCCTGGAGCTGGTCGTGCCCAGGGGCCCGCTGCCTTGTATGTGGCCGCACAGAGCGGGGGCCGGCTCGGCGTGTGCAAAAGCCAGAGGCTCACGGAGTCTACCAGAGTGTGTTTTGTTAAACAAAGCAGCAAGACCCCTAGAGATGTTTCTTTCCACCTCGAGCGAAGCAGAACAACGCTGACACCTTTGGACGAGCCGCGCTCTTAGTTCCTTGCCCTCAGACTTTTAGAAATATCAGGGGCCAATCTCAGAATTGTTCTGAAATGTTCTCTTTGATGCATGGATCTATGAATCATTCAGTTTGTTGGCATCACGAGTGGTTTTCTTTAAAAGCTAATATGATAGCGAGTCTGTGGGCTCCGGGTGCCATCTGCTCACCCGGCTCCCTCTGGGCGCAGCCTTCATCCTCCCCAAGGCAGAGGTGTGCGTCCGGAACCACGTCCAGCCCTACATCCCGTCCATCCTGGAGGCCCTGATGGTGCCCACCAGCCAGGGCTTCACCGAGGTGCGGGATGTCCTCTTCAAAGAGGTGACTGACATGAACCTGAACGTCATCAACGAGGGCGGTGCAGACAAGCTGGGTGAGGTGAGGCCAGGCCCCCTGCCCCGGGGACGGGAGCGCACTGGGCCTGGGTCCGCTCTGCCCCCGCCAGGCCCTTGCTGCGACTCAGGGTGTAACCTGTCACCAGAGGGTCTGCTAGAGACCAAGGGGCTGAGGGCGTGAGGCACTGGGGGGCAGCAGTCAGAGGAAAGGGGGATCGCTGACCCCCTCCACCAGGCGGGTGACACCCACGTGGGTGTCAGGTGCAGATAGAATGGATCCCATAATCTTTGCCCTCCTCTTCCACACCGCGAACCGAGGAGTACACAGACAGTAATTATCATAGAATTTGGGAACCAGAAAAGACTTAGAGATCATGAGAAACTTTCGCCTGATTTTGAGGCTGAGGAATCGGAGGCTCAGAGAGGGTGAGCGACTTGCCCAAGGTCACACAGTGCCCCAGAAGGGATGAGAACCTCTCCCCAGGCACCGTGCTGCTAGACCATGCTCCAGCCTTCACACCCTCCTCCCTCGGGGCCTGGGTCCCCCCAGCTTACCCTGCAGGCAGTCCCTGTAGGGGGCCAGGCCCGGACTCCCAGGGCCTGGGCAAGCTGTGGGTCTGCAGGGCCTGCCTCCACTCTGGGAGCCCCGGCTCAGGTACCCGCTTCCCTACAGTACATGGAGAAGCTGTCCCAGCTGGCCTACCACCCCCTCAAGATGCAGAGCTGCTACGAGAAGATGGAGCCGCTGCGGCTCGACGGGCTGCAGCAGCGTTTCGACGTGTCCAGCACATCCGTGTTCAAGCAGCGAGCCCAGATCCACATGCGAGAGGTGGGCCCCAGCACCCCCCACGTCCCACAGGCCCTGGCTCCTGGGGAGAGGCCCTGCCTCCTCCTGGGCCTCACGGCAGCCTCACGGCAGCCGCGCTCAGCCCCTCGAGTGCTCCTACCTGCTGGAACACCCGTCCCTCTGTTCACTTGGCTAATCTGGACTCCTCGTCCAGGTCTTGCCCTAGAGACCCCTTCCTCCAGGAAGCCCTCCTTGCTCCCCAAGCCCCTCCCTGCAAGGCCCAGGACCTCGGTTTCCTTGAGGCAGGGACTGGCCGGTGCCCAGCACTGTGCCAGCACACAGCAGACAGTAAAGATGGGGGGGAACACGTAGGCGCACACAGGCCGCCCCCACACCTCCCTACAGCCCTGGGGCACAGGCTCAGGAGCCCCTCCGAGGCGTGCAGGAAGGGGCCTTCACGTGCCCCGCGGTGTGCCCTGCAGCAAATGGACAATGCCGTGTACACCTTTGAGACCCTCCTGCACCAGGAGCTGGGGAAGGGGCCCACCAAGGAGGAGCTGTGCAAGTCCATCCAGCGGATCCTGGAGCGGGTGCTGAAGGTGAGCGGCCTGGCCCGAGCCCAGTCCCCGGGCTCGTACCAGGCTTGCTGCCCCTACGGGCGGCACCGCGGAGCCCCTGGCGTGGGCACGGATTCCGAGGCTCGGGTCAGACCCCCGGGCTTTCATCCCCCTGACCCCTCCTTTCCTGGCAGAAATACGACTACGACAGCAGCTCGGTGCGGAAGCGATTCTTCCGCGAGGCGCTGCTGCAGATCACCATCCCCTTCCTGCTCAAGAAGCTGGCGCCCACGTGCAAGTCGGTGAGCGTGCCCCTCCCCTCCCCCAGCCTCGCAGCCCCTCGCCCCCAGCCCCCTCCCTCCACCCGCCGGCCTGACCCCCGCCTCTGCCCACCCCACCCCTGCAGGAGCTGCCCCGGTTCCAGGAGCTGATCTTCGAGGACTTCGCCAGGTTCATCCTGGTGGAGAACACGTACGAGGAGGTGGTGCTGCAGACGGTCATGAAGGACATCCTGCAGGGTACGGGAGGGCCAGCTGGGGGGGGGGGGGCCTCAGCGCCGGGGGAGGGGAGGAGGTGAGAAAGACGGCTGCTGAGAGGTCCTCCTGGTCCCACGCGCTAAGCTGCAAAGAAACCCTAACCTCGGGGCTTAGGCCTGGCGGTTGGCTTAGGCACGCTGTGTGGCCCTGGGCGGGTAGCATCGCTCCTCTGTGCTGTCCTGTCAGCTCAGGCTTTGGCGTTGCAGACGGTGGCAGATGAGGGACAGGAGGACACAGTGGTGGCCAGCTTGGGCTGCTGGTTCCCAGCAGTGAGGCCGGGGGTGATGATGGGGGTCCTACTCGGGCGCCGTGGAGGGTGGGCTGGCGGCCGCGGCCTCTGCGCCGACTGTCCTGACCCTGCTCTCTGGCTCCGCAGCCGTGAAGGAGGCCGCGGTGCAGAGGAAGCACAACCTCTACCGGGACAGCATGGTCATGCACAACAGCGACCCCAACTTGCACCTGCTGGCCGAGGGCGCGCCTATCGACTGGGGTGAGGAGTACGGTGGCAGCGGGGGGGACGGCGGCAGCCCCAGCGTCCCAGAAGCAGCCACCCATTCAGAAAAGCGACGGCGTGCCAAGCAGGTGGTGTCTGTGGTCCAGGACGAGGAGGCAGGGCTGCCGTTCGAGGCCGGTCCTGAGCCCCTATCACCTGCGTCCCAGGACAGTGTCACTGAGCTCCGTGGCCTGCTGGCCCGGGATCTGCGGGCTGAGAGCCCCCCGCCGGCTGGCCCTCTGCTCAACGGGGCCCCCTCCCAGGAGAGCCCCCAGCCCGCGGCAGCCCCTGAGGCCTCCTCGCCGCCCGCCTCACCCCTCCGGCAACTCCCTCCTGGAAAGGCTGTGGACCTTGAGCTTCCCAAACCTAGTGACCAGGAGACCGGGGAGCAGGTGTCCAGCCCTGGTGGCCGCCCCCCCATCCACACCACCACCGAGGACAGCGCAGGGGTACAGACGGAGTTCTAGGCCTGTTACCCCCGAGCTTCTGCTGGACATGGCACACGGGCCACCCCCTGCAAGACACTGACAGGCTTGGCTCCAGCCGGGGAGCCCCAGATCTAGGCCTCGGGGTGGAGGTAGGGGAGGGCTGGTGTGGCACCTCTGGGGCTGGCCCACCTGAGTCACTTTATTGGGTTTGGTCACACTTTGCTCCGTTTTCTCTTCTGTGGGATGATCTGGGGCTTCCTGCTTGTGCTGGGAGCTGGGCCAGCCGAGGGGGCTGAGGAGTGAGTACCTTGGTGGCCGCCGGTTCCCTGGGTCCTCCCTTCCTGCTTTCTGGGGTCAGTTTCTCTCATGGGGGTCTCACCCTCCTCCTCAGTAAGACCGATGTAGAGTTGTTCGCTGGGTTATTCGGCCACTGAATTCTCTCCCTTCTCACTGGTGGAGGGGGCCCATTGGAACCAGAAGCATGGAGCATTGAAGCCCAGCTCTGTCCAGACCACTGTCCTCCTCAATCCTGGCTGGGCCTCCAGAGGCCAGGTTTGGAGTGGACACTGGCCTCGCTTTGCCTGCTGTGGGTGAGGGGAGGCGCACAGAGGGGTCTCAGGCTGTAGCCAGGCTAGGGATGCCTCCTGGAGGAGGGGTGAGGGGCCGGGGTTGGAATGAGAAAGGCCCAGAATGTGCTAGTCTGTGGAGAGGAAGTGTTCCAAGAGCGGGAGGGAGGGGGTGAGCTGAGGGGAGGTATTGCTGGGAGTGTCTTCAGAGCAGGCTGAGGTGGCCCAGGGAAGGCTCTGGAAGCTGAAGCAGGCTTTACATTCCCCACCCCCGCCCCCGCCCCAGCCCAGCTCCTACCTGTTAGCACCCAGCCTCCGGGAGTCCCTCTGTTGCCCCTGCCCGTCCTGTGGCGACACACTCCGGGCTGGGACGGAGGGGTGGCAGGCCGCTCAAGAGGTGGGGTTTGGGGGTATAGATTCTGTCTTCCGAGGGCCACCTCCAAGGTACGCACTGTCCATCAGGGAAGCTGGGTCTGGCTCCCCAAAGCACCACCGGTGACCCCTCTGAGGATGTAGGGTCAGGCTGTGGCTTGGCCCCTGAAAAATTCCCTTCTTAGATATCCTCCTCCCAAAGCTGCTCGTTTCTGGGAGTGAGGGTTGAGCCGCTTCCCCAGGGCCCGGGATCCCCTGGCTTCCCCAGCCCCCTCGATCCGCTTCCCAGGGCAGGGGCCTCAGACCCCCAGGACGTGCGGTGGTGGCTGGTGCTCAGGGACCCTCCGGGTCCCCCCAGCCCTAATCTCAAATGCCTCACTAACCTTCTACCACCAGGTTCCGTGTTCACATCTCTCCTCTAGTGCCTTCTCTTGGGGTTTTCTCCAATCATCCTTCCCAGATATTGTACTGAAAATATTATGCAAACTCTTTAAGCTTTACTAATCAATAAATGATTTAAAGCCAGTGGCCTGCGTGTGGTGCCGCCAGTGGGAGACCTGGGCCGGAGCCGGTCTAGGACCAGCAGTGCCCCCTGACTTTCTGGGCTCATCGTTTGACCCCCCTCTCCATGCCTGGTCGGAGGACACCGCCCCAGAGACGGGGTGCAGGGCACACAGGTGACTAGCCTGATGGCAGCTCGGCCAGGAGGGCTGGCAGCAGCTTTAAGGCCAAGTAGCCCCGGGGTGTCCACAGAGGTGTGGGCATTTTGGGGGACTCCTGCTCACTCAGCAGTCACGGAGCACTCGCTGTGGGCTGAGCACTCCAGAAGGAGAGCACCCTCGTTACCGCCATTTTACCACCGTGTAAACTGAGGCCCAAGGTGATGTGGATCCCTGGCTGAGGTTACAGGGCACACACACGCACACATACATGCACACACACACAGCTGGTAGGGATGGGTTGTCCCATCCAAGGGTGTAAACAGGCGTCCTGGGTGGGATGGCAGCCAGTCACCTTGAGGGACGTTGGCTTCCATGGTGGCCAGTGGCTGAGGGCTGGTCAACAAGGGCTGAGGTGAGGAACGGCGGGGGCCTTGGGGCCGGAGACCAGACATTCAGCTGCAGTCTTGCTGTGGTCCTTGGCAAATCGCTCCATCTACAAGAGCAGGGCTGGGCGCTCATAAAAGTCTTTCTCCCTGGGCCTAGTGAGGAGCCTGGGTGATTCGCAAAATGCTGTGCCCTATGTGGCCCTGCCCGCCCAGGTCTCCATCTCCCTCGGCTAAGGCTGAGCCCAGGTTTGGGGCTGAGGGAGGGAGGCGGCAGAGCTCCTGGGGAGTCAGGGGTAGGGGGTGAGACTGTGGGAAGAGGCCCCAGCTCTTGCTTGGAAAGGACTTACAAGGGGCCTTCATCCCATCCCATTTCAGCCTACAGGGTTGATGCTCCCAATCCGATAGGGACACTGAGGTGCAAGGCAGACGGCTCTCTGCCACTCCAAGGCCAGGCCCCGGCATCCAGCATTGCACCTGGTGTGAGCACTCAGTGCCCCCTGGTGGCTACTGGCTGCGTCAGGGCCCCGTCAGGTCCCTTATTGAATGCATGGACGGGGAAAGGAGTCTGGAAGGCTGGCCAGGGTCAGCGTTAGCTGGAGGCAGAGCCCGGGGGCCCCAAAGAGACCCACCTCTAGCCCAAAGCAAGCTCCACTTGGTTCAAAACCATCTGCCCGAACGTACGCAATAAACGTGCAGCTCTGATCAAGTGCAAGGGAGCATGGCTCCTGTTAGCGTTGTGCAATGAACCACCAGCACAACTGCATGGGCTTAGGAGTCCAGAGGCTTCCAGGCTCCAGCCCCAGCGCTGCCATGTCCCAGCTCCCAGGCCCTGGGCCCTTCTCCGGGATAGCGGTAAGGGAGCGCACAGCCCCCGCCCCCCCGCACGACCTGCTCCAGCTGTCTGTCCACCTGTCATGAGGGCAGATTTGGAGAATGCCTCTCCCACCTCTCCCACCTCTCCCTCCCTTTGATTGAGGTGAAGCCCTCCCCCCGGACCACCCCCGTCCCCCCAGCCCTCCCCTGTCCCCGGGCTCCACCAGGCCCCAGCAAGGACTCAGGATCAGGCTGGAGGTGGATTTATTGACATTCCTGCTTCGGGTGGGCAAAGCCCGTTGCCTGCCTGTGAGCTGTGGGGGGTGGGGGTGGGGGGGTGGACTGTTAGGAGGTACAGGTCTGGAGAGCAGGGGGCCCAGAGGGGGAGGTCGGGAGGGGCGAGCGTGGCTTGCGGTACAAGGCGTGCACTCGGCACACCGGCAAGTCCACGTGAGGCCAGCCCGTGGCGCCCCGTGGTGGCCTCCGTGCAGCAGCTCCGCGCTCGGGGCCCTCCCGCACTCCCACCGCCCCACTGAGGGGGACAGCGCCGTCCGTGTTACCCTGACGAGGACGCCGAGGCTCCCGCAGGGCAGTGACCTGCCGCAGTCAGACTGCTGGGAAGTGGCAGCGGCCAGGACCCTCAGTCCTGTGCTTAGACGGGGGCGCAGCTGCTTCTCCAAACCCCCGAGGCCGTCCTCCGCCTCGGAGTCCTCGCGTCCCCCACAGCCGTCGGACGAGCGGCGGCAGGGCCAGGGGCACCCGGTCCCCCTCCCGCCCCCGCCCAGGTGGGCTCGGAGAGGAACGGGGCGGGGGGCAGCTCCCAGGCCATGAGAGAGGGCCCCGGGGCGGGGGGGGCTGTGCCGGTCTGGAGCCCGGGGCTCAGCTGCTGTGGTAGAGCCGGAGGCGCTGCGTGACCTCCTGACGGCACAGCGGGCACGTGCGCAGCGGCTGGCAGCATTGGTGGCAGCAGCAGACGTGGCCGCAGTTGAGGAAGATCATCTGGGCCTGAGGAGAGACCGTGGGAGCGGCTGGGTCCTGCCCCGGCCTGTTCCCGGCGACGGGGCAACGGAGCCCCCCGACCCCTCGCTGTCCTTTACCTCAAGGATCTGAGACCACAGTTGTCACACGCCGTCCAAACGGCACAGAAGTCGCTCCCGACCCCCTATCCCCCTGCGCCCCAACAGCTGCCCAGGAGGCCACAGCGTGTCTGACCAGCCCTGCTGTCGGACCTGTAGGCCGTCCTGATTCCTGCCTTTTCGTGCCCTGGCCAGCCCCTTGGTCCACAAAGGATTCCAACGTCACGGAGCAAAAGCCACATAAGCATGCCTGTGCTTTGCTTCAGCGTTTCCTCTTTTCAGGACTTACGCTAAGGGAGTGATCAAGGATGCGCTCCCAACTCCGCCCAAGGCTGTGGCACAGCACTGCTCGTAGTAACAACCTGGAAGCCACCTCTGGGCCCCAAAGCAGGGGCTTTGGTTAAATTTATAACCAACACGTCCCTCCGCATCACGGCATTCCCTGGGCTGACTAAAGACCCTGGAGTAATTACACTGCTAACACGGTAGCTTCTTTTAAGTCGGATCACATGGTGGAGGGAGGGGAGGGGTTTTATTTTCTACACTATATTAAGTTTTACAATAAACATTAATTTTGTTATAGATTTTATATATATATATATTTAAGATTATTTGAGAGTGAGTGAGTGTGGGGAGGAGGGACAGAGGGAGAGAGTTTTAAGCAGACTCTGTGCTGAGCACGGAGCCTGACACGGGGTTTGACCCCATGACCCTGAGATCATGACCTGAGCCCAAACCGAGTCAGATGCTTAATTGACTCTGCCACCCAGGCACCCCTAATTTTGTTACAGATTTTAAAAGATGGTTTTTGAAAAGTCTCTTCAGAGACAATTATGTTGTTGATATTTAATGACTTGGGAAATTTTCCTTAATTAAGTAGGGGGAAAAAAACCTCTTTTGAAAAAAAGAAAGTCCCAGAAAATGATGTTAGCAATTAGCTCATGTTTGGGTCATGGGATCACGGTAATTTCCTGTATTTTTTGCTGTCCTGTATTTCCCCAAATTTCTAACGAATACAATCTACTTCTACCACTAGAAACAACACACGTGCCTGGACAGGCTCAGGACGGGCACAGGCCGGGCCCGCGGGTGGGGCCACTGCCCCAGACTTACCTCCCGTTCCAGGCATACGACACATTCCGAGGTCGGCACCACCAGCTCCGCCGGGGGAGCGGACGGGCTCACAGACTCAGGCGGCTCCTCGGGGGCAGTGGGCACCTCCAGGGCCCCAAGGACCTCACCCTTGGGTGGGTTCAGCAGCTCTGTGGGGACCAGACAGGCTGGGCCAGGGTCATGCCCCCAGGATCCCAACCCCCAGGGGGTCCCCTGGCTCTGCCTGCCACGAGTGAACAGTGAGCTAAGGTGGGGCCCTCGGATCCCACAGGAGGGTAAGGGCCCCCTTATTTCTCTTTTCTGAGCCTCACCCCCCCCATCTGTAAGACAGGAGTGCTGACTCACTGGCAGGGAAGGCCACAGTGCTGGTTAATTGGGGCCTCTAACCCCTGACCCTTCCCTGGATCCTTCACAGGGACCCTGCAAGGAGGGCTTGTCACTTGCAAAGAAGAGCAGCCACTTGCCCAAGACCACAGGGCCACCTGGTGGTGGAGCCGTGGGGCAGGAGCCCTTGGTTAGGGGCTCTGCGGGGGATGGGGGCTGTGCTCACAGCTTCCCCACCAGGTCTCCCAGGAGACCTCCGGGGAGCAGGGAGAGGAATGAGAAGGCCCCAGGGCTGCCCCCTCGCCGCCCTGCTCCCAGGAGAGCAGGCACCCCCCCGGGGCCCCAGAGCAGCACAGGGCAGAATCGGCCCTTACGAAGCGGTCTCTCTCATCATGCAACATACACCAACATCCCTGAGTCCTCTCCATCCCAGATGCACATCCTGATCTTGGTTCAGATTTTCCCATCTATCCTGTGGTTTGAATTACGAGTTTTTATAATTGGAAAAACCTTAAGATCTTTTTTTTAAAGGCTGTTACAACACTAGGCTCCCTGAAGGTACCACGGTGCCACCAAACCATCACTGTAAAGGGGCTCTTCTGTATTTAATATGACACCAAGTGAGTTCTGGAAGCAGGAAGAGGATGTCAGGAAAGGGACTGAAGGTCTCCTGCCCCCTCTGCAGCTGACAAGGAGAGGTCCCACCCAGCCCTCCCTGCAGCTGGGCAGCATCAGGAAGAAGCTGTACGCAGCCTCAATGGGGAAGGACCTGCTGGTCCCTTCTGGCTCCTGCTAGCTGTAGGGATTTTTTGGAGACGGTGGGTGGCAGCCATCATCTGAGGGGCTCAGAGTGAAGGACACTTATGTCTGCCACGAGGGGGACCCCAAACCCTGATGCCAAACTTATCCGGACCTCCAGTCTGACAGCAGGAAGGTGTCAGTACTGGAAAACATCTGGAAGGGGAAGAAGGGATCTATTTCATACATTACTTGATATTAAAGAACTATTAGTTTAATGCATTTTTTAGGTCGGATCAATGCCCCTGGAATAAAATTGGCTGGAAAGCTGGAGCCTGTGGACATCATGACACGGCCCAGGCACCTAGGGACCCAGGATCTCCCCCATGCCGGCCACAGAGCTCTTGCCTCATCCCTGCAATCTGGTCCAGCAATCCCACCTTTGGTCTCTGCCTTGAACGGCCCCTGCCTGAGACCGGCAGTGCCGTGGGCTCGCCCAACCCGGCAGCCCAGGCAGGCCCGCTCCTTCCATCCTTGTTCCAGGCTCCCTTCCCTTCTCAAGACCCCTCGGTCTCTTCTCGAGGGAGGCCTTAAGCTCAGTGGTTCAGCCATCTGCCAGCTGTGTGACGTTACAGGAGAACATTAACTTCTCTGTTCCCTCCGCTCTCTAACGAGGACAGTAGCACCCGCCTCACGGGGCTGACACAGGGGCGACACGACACGGGGCATGCGCAGGGGCTGGCGAATACCTGGTGCCTGGGTCGTGCTCGGCACACGGGAGCCCCCGCCTCCCACATCTGCTCCTGCGTCAGCCACAGCACCTAGACTTCCCCGGGCCTCCACACACAGGTGGACTGCCTTTATGACCCGCCTTTACCCCTCTGCACGTCGTCACAAACATCTTTCCACAGCCACCACAGGCCCGCCCCAGGCACGGTGTCAGGCACTGGGCATGGCTGGTTTCCCCCTCTATTTCAAGGGTCCGTGGTGTGTGGTTCCCAGTGTATGGTAGGTTTAGGGAAGGTTATAGGACAGGGCACCAGGAGGGCCCTTCTACTTCTACAAGGAAACTTCTCCTTCTTCCCCCCCACCGCCCATTTTTGTGGCCTTTTTTTTCCATTTGGAAATCCTGTTCCTTTAGGAGGGAACCTTAAGGACCGATAGGGGCTAGGACCGGCCCTTAGTTCTCGTCCTGAAATGTAAACAGGTGACCCCCTCCCCCCAGAGCACAGTCCACAAGCGAGGTTGGGGCCTCTGCTTAGTAGATGCCCTGTATTGGTACCTGGCTGGATCCTGGCTGCATCCAACAGCTCCTGGACCCTCCGCAGGATCTCGTGCTGCAGGCCAGCTTCCGAGATGCCCACCTACGGCAGTTCAAGGCAAAGCCAGTTACGGCCTGGGCTGGGTGGGAGCCACAAGGACCGCCTCCTTCCTGGCTTCTGGCACCTTCACCTGGAAATTCGGAGGCCTGGGCCCCCAGGTCAACAGGAGGCAATGCAGCACCACAGCTGTGGAGCTGACCAGGTGGCAGGGAGGGAAACCGAGGCCCCAAAGGGAACTAACACCGGTAAGAGTCACAGTTTAGCACGTGCCTACCCTGCACTGGGGCAGGGACTCGCTGAAAGCATCACCTGTGAGACCCCACGTCTCCCCCCGCCCCCTGACAACAGGGGAGTCAGGACCCACTGTCAGAGTTCACAGGAAGGGGCAGGGAGTGCCCACTGAGGCCGAGCTGCTGAGGACTGGCAGTGCTGGAGTCCCACAGACCTGCGGGTGACACAGCCCCTGTGTGTGACCTGTCAGTTTCTGGGTCAAGGACAGGCCACACGGCAGAGGGGTAGACAGCATGGCCTCTGGGACTGGACCACCCATGCTCGGGGCCTGACTGTGCCGTGTGACCCCAGGCAAGCTACCACCCTGCCGCGTCTCCACTTCCTCAACTGAGAAACGACAAGGATGCTACGTGCCCGGCCGCGCCGTTGCAGGGGCTAGCATGGGAAAGCCCTTAGGACAGCGCCTGGCACTGGCCAACAGCTACGGACCTTAGCTGCCCTCATTCGGCTCTTTCGAAGCGTAAACGAACTAATGCAATGCGGAGCTCAGCTCCGACCCAGAATGTCAGCAGGCTCAGGCAGTGCTGCCATTCCGAGGTCCGTGAAGCCGGGGGCGGGCCAGGCCAGACAGCCTCCGAGGACTTGTCCTGGGCCTACAACGTCAAGGTCCCAGCTGAGCGGGGGGAGTAGTCTAGGGTTGGGCAGACGGTGTGCAGGCTACACCCAGGGGCTGAGGGGCCGACGAGGTGGGGGTTCTGGCTGTCTGGAAGCACGGGGGCCCCGGAACATGGGCTCATGGCAGACCGCACCCACAGCGGCAGGAGCGCAAGCCGACCCCTGGCGGCTGGGACGGCGGCCTCGTGCAGCGCTCCAACCCCCCACCCCGGGGCTGCCGCCTCCCACCTTGGCCAGGTCGGCAGGGCTCATGCGGCTCAGCGTGTCCAGTGAGATGCGGTGGTGGGCGAAGAGAGGCAGGTAGTGTTCCGCCGACAGATCCACCAGGAGGGCCGCCAGCTGGCGCTCCAGGCCTTCCTCCTGCGGGACAGACCCACGGGAGAAGCTGACCGCACCGCCAACACGGCCCCCGTTATTCACAACAGCGAACAAAGGCTCTGAGCACGTTTAACAGAATATATAAAACGCCTCCTCGGAACTCTTCCTACAAAAATGCATACGTGAGCACAGAGATAAAGACGCGAGGAAGTTCACTGCCAGTCTACCTGTAAACTTGAAAATGGTTAAGCGATCAGGTACCCATCAAGAGGAGCTGTTTAAATCAATGAGGGCTCATCCAGATACTAAATACTATGTCTGGAAACAATGAGGAGATTTATTATGTATACAGCTAGAGAATTGCCCATCATTATTAAGAGTAAAAAACAGTTTGCCAAAATAGTATATATAGAAGGACTCCATTTTTATTAAAAAACAAAATAAAAAAACCAGTGTGTGTGGGGGGGAGGGGGGACCACATCCATCCCGCCCACAGCGGGGGTTTGCAGGGGGTTCCTGTGCTCCCCACCCCACATAGCTCTCCCCCTTCCCGTACCAGAAGGAAGGCACCCACGCTCTTTCTGTCCCCGCCGGGGCCTAGCAGAGGACCCGGCACACTAGTCACTGGAAATATGAACAGAACAGAACTGGAAAGATCAGGCAGCCAGGCATCCCCGAGGCGGGGGAGGCTCTCCGAAAGGGTAGGGACCAGCAGTCCTTACCTGCAACTTCAAGGACAGGGGTTTCTGGTTCAAAAGCCGTTGATACTGAATCAGCCAATAATTTTCCTGCTTGGTTTCGCTTTTGGCTTCTAACTCTGTCTGCCAAGGATGAAGCAGGCATCGTTAGTTCTAGGTCAGTAAATAAAAACTGTAAGGACAGTGCCCATTGTGAACGAGGCTTTTGGCTGGTGGAGGTTGCTCAGTATTCTACAAAGAACTTCCGCAGCCCCCACAGTCTCACCACTTAAACTACTGAGCCCGGAAAGGCAGGAAGTGCCTCGACCCCCAGTTACCTGCTGCGAACAATCTCAGCCAGGGCACACCTGGGGTTGAGGCCAGACTCAGGGCTTCGGACGCCTGCCACCAGGCTCTGCGGGCCCCTCCTCGGGCTCAGCTCTGGTGACAGGCAGGGAGAGAAATAGGATTCTAAGGACAATATGGGCCTCTGGAGTGGGCTTCACCCTTCTGACAAAGCTGGAGAACGACAGACATGCTACTGAAACGGATCCCTTCATTCTGCCATGAACAGGTAGACATGATTCTAGGTGCATGATTCTAGGTGCTGGGGCCAGTCCCACGACAAAAATGGTATGAACAGCAACAGCTAACGTTTTCAGAGTGCCGTGTGCCAGAACCCACTATGCACCCAGGTGCCATTTTCCTTAATTCGCACAGCTCCGTGAGGGGGTCCGACTTCCAGGGTGAGCAAAGGGAGGTTCAGAGTGATTAGGAACCTGCCCAGTTATAAGAGCTGTCCGGGGAGAGGGCCAGGACTTGGACCCAGGCCTGTGTTGCCCGGGGACCTGTGTTCTGAGCAAGCCAGGCAGCCCAGCCAGGACTGCGGCCACACGCTGGGGGCCAAAGGAGAGGCGGGCAGCAAGGCTTCAACCCAGGCCTTAGGGCCTGTCTGGCCGTCCCTCCCAGACCTTGCCAAGCTGCTCCCCTCTGCTGCCCACGGCCCTCCCCAGGCTGTGGACACATCTCTTGTCTGGCACCCGTGACCCTAGCAGTCACGATCTGCTGAGGGGGGGCTTCCTCCCCTGGATGGTGAGTGCTCTGAGGCCCCTGAGGGCAGGAGCATAGGGCCAGAGGGCACAGCGGCTGCTGCAAGATGCCACCGTGCCATCCGCGTGTTAATACAGTTCGCAGGCGACGGCGGTAAGGCATCACGAGGAACCGGCAGCTTCTGACTGGCCCGCACATGGGCTCGTGTGGGGCTGTGGAAGCTGGTCTCAGTCTTCCCTGCGCAGAGCTCCGTCCACAACGGAGCTCAGAGAACGTCTGGAGCATTAACGACACCATAGGAGCGACTTAGGCCTCTGTCCCCAATGCTCCAATGCACATGGGGTCTAGAGGAAATGATCGCCACCTGCCACCATGACAATGTGCCAGAGTCAAACACATTTGGGTACAGGGGACAGCTGGGCAACTCCTGCCAAAAGCTTATTACACAGCCTGCCCTGGACACAGAAAGTCCTCTCCTGGGCATCGGTCTTGAATAAATACTCATCATGGTCGTTCTCGATACTCCGCTACAAAGAGAGCATTCCTTAGAAAAGTAAAGAACTGGAAGTAGTCTGAATGCTCAGCAATGGGCTAGGATGGCCCATCCAAATGCAGCCAGGAAACGTATGGAGAACATTTTAGGGCATGAAAAGAACAGAGGCAAATGAGCTGGTTCTAAAGAGGTGTGTACCATCTTATGTTTATAAGGCACACACATACACAGCTATAAATATGCATCATAGTGGTCAGAAAACACATCAAAGCGTTAGCTTTAGGTAACTCTCAGAAGTGAGTCTTTTCCTTCGTTCTCTTTTTCTTTGATGAGCAACTATTACTTGAATAACAGTAACGCTTCTAAGAATGCCGAGTGTGTTTAGGGAAAGCGAACCCATGTGCGATGCGGAATGCAGAAGCCGAGCGCACCAGAATTTCCCGGAGCTCTTCCTCTCGTCGCGTCTTTTCCTTGAGCAGCTGCTGGAGCAGGGAGCTCAGGGCCCAGCGCTGCTCCGAGATCATCTCCTGCAACACAAGACCATGCCTAGTGCCGCTGGAAGCTCATAGCTCTGGAGCCAGGAGTACCCCATGGGGTGACAGGATCCCCCCAACTTCATTTCCAAGCTGGCAGCCGGGACCCCACAGTGGGCCCAACTCAACCAGACAGAGGGTTGGGGGATGGAGCCGAGGGGCCCCTCTGCCTGGGCATCCCCTCATCTTCTCCCTGTGGGGGTCAGGCCAGGCGTGGGATCTAGTGACTCCTGACAATGGAATGGTAAGAAACAGCAAACAAAGGAAATGACAAGCCACAGGTACATGACTGCAATCTCAGGGACTACAGAGCGTGTGGGTGGAAGCACAGGCAGGGAGGGTTGGCGTGTAACCCCCATGGGTCTGGAAGGTTCTACCCAGATGGAGGCACATGCAAACTGGGCGAAGTCCTCGTTTGTGTCTGTGTTCCACTCATTTCTTACTCTTGGAAACCACGGAAGCCCTCAAAATGGGAGCCTCACAAGCTCTGATGGGCAGGAGACGTGGGCACCTGCCAAGCACGGTGGCTGCATCTTTTCTGAGAGCTCATCTCTGAAGACAGGCGGCAAGGCTCACAAAGGGCTTTGCATTGGCTAGCTTGCCCCAGTGTGATGGCCCTAGGACACAAGCTGGGCCTGGAAGATGATTTCCTTTTACGAAGGGGAGAAATGGGAGGCCTAGGAGGGGAAGTGACCTGCCTTAGGTCACACAGCACATCTGTGACAGACCTGAGAACAGACACAAACACAGGGACAGACAGAAGGCTCTACTCAGAAGCCGGATGTGGGGCGCAGGTCCTCACACACCATTGATCCATCTGCTTTTGGACATTTGGGCAGAGGTCGGGAGAGGGCAAGGTCCAGCCCTCTTCTGTGCCTGCCCAGGTCACACAGTACGACTATAGAGGACAAAGCCCAGGGTCCCAGACACGCAGTCCAGAACGCCACCTGCTGGTCCCTACTGCCCCCACGCTCTACAAGCAGGACACCCAGACTGGAGCTCCCAGAGAAACCGCCTGCAGGGAGTGACACAGTTACAGCTGGGCCCTCTCCTCCAGAGATCCTTGGGACACCAAGACAGCTCCTTCCCCAGAGGAGATCAGCCCGTGAGTTGAACCAGCACCCCAAAAGCATGGTTTAAAGAGACAGGGAGCTCAGCAGTGACCCTGCTTCAAAACAAAGAAAATGCAGAGATGGAGATGGGCCTGGGTGAGCCTTGGCAATGAAACCCGACTTCCTCTGACCCTCCTGCTGAGCAATAGGCTGCCCCGACCCTAACCTTGGCCTGCGCTGGGCTCGCCCCCCCAGGCTGTGCTCCCATCACAGCCCCAGAGGAGCCTGCCTGCCTGCTGGGGAGCAGCTGTGGGGAGGGAGGCAAGGAGGAGGGGCAGGCCAGGAGCCCTACATACCTGCAGTGCCTCTGTGTCCAGGGACTTCCTCTTTACCTCCAGCTGAGTCAGCTGCAATAACTCAGTTTCTATTAACTTAATCTAAACGGAAGACGAAACAGGGTTTTTTTAAATTCACATTAACCAAGGTTCAAGTCTGTGCTGCTCCCTGAAGGCCAAGTGGGGTCTAAGAAACATTTCGGGGGCGGTCGGGAATGAAGGGGACCTGGGTGCCTTGGGAACCCCCTCAGCAGGGCTTTAAAAGAATTAGTTGTTTCAGGGCCCCGAGTGCTTGGGGGGCACAGACGGGCCTGTCCTGGAGGGCCCATCCCAGAGAGGCTAACGGCTTATGGAATGGAGACAGGCCTGCCTTGAAGGTTCAGGCCAGAGTGCAGAACAGACACAGGTCCTCACTGAGCCTCGCACTCACCGCAGTGTCTTACTTCCTGTAACTGCCGTCACAGAGAGCAGAGGGTAATGGAGTGACTAAGAGCAACGATGGTAGCAGCTGATGCTTCCAGAACATTCTGTGTGCAAGGCTTGGGCTGTGTACTCTAACTATAATGTTGTCATCGAATCTCCCCTGGTTATTAGGAGATATTACTGCCTCCATTTTACAGATGAGGAAACGGGGGCTCAGAGAGCTTAAGTAACTTGTTCAAGGACACAGAGCAGGTTGGTGAGGGAGCCCTTTCCCGGGGCTCTCCCTGCTTGGGTCTGAAGGGGAACAGCTGGCCAGCTGGGTCAGAACCACCCACAGGGAGGATGCCTGGGGGTCAGACCCCACAGTTAGTGACTTCTCCACCCCGAGCCTGTGACCCTATGGCCCTCACCCCTAAGTTCCTATGGCCCCACCAACCCCCGGTCAGAGGAATGAGCTTCATGTCCGGCAAGGTGGGATTGAAATTAAAGAGGGAAATAAAAAGGTAAGTTGGTTTTGGCCAAAAAAAGAGAAAAGAATACAAAGAAAAAAACATGCAAAAATGTAAAATTCAAAGTGTGCCGAATAGTATGCGATGAGCATTCCCGCAGCCTGAAAGCTCCGTCTCCAGCCCTCCAGAAAGCCCAGGGGGCCCAACATAGCCCACCGGGCGGAGGCCAGCCTGCAGGTCGGCAGCCGAGCCCAGACCAGAGCACAGCTCCCTCCAGGCGAGGCGGCCTCCCCTGCCTGCCCTGGTGGGCCACCCCATCCGCCCCAGCTCCTCAGTTTGAGCTGATGGAGGTGGTCACTGGGGTGGAACTGACCGCATTTCCCCCAGGGAGGGCTTCCTGCCTGGGGCACGGTGGATGCAGAGGCTGCCTAAGCCGTCCAGGCTGCCCACGGGCATCAGGGGAGACAGCGGAACCATTTATGTGGCAGGGGCGGCGTGGAGTTGGGGGGGAATGGATGGCTGAACTGGCGCATGAAGGAACCACTTCTGCCGTCTGGAAAGGCACGCAGGAAGGGGTCGGTGGGGCCGCACCCCCAGCCCTCACCTGGTTCCTGATCTGCCGGTGCATCAGGTCTTTCTTCACCTGGAGAGCCTCAAACGCGGCCTTCTGCATGGCGCTCTGCAACAGAGATCACCAGCTGCTCGGCAGGTGCCCGGGGCCCGGGCCAGGGGGCACACAGAATCTGCTCAGAAACCCCTTCATGGAGGACTTCTCGGTCTCTTAGAGGGAACGTAACTCTTTAGCTCACTTGTTCACATTTTAGAAATAATACCTGTGAAAGGCTCACTAGCCCTGGATACTATGTGCACTGAATTTCCACAACCAGGGGTGTGGGTGCTTTCACTGCCCAGTTTCACGAGGAAGGTGAGGCGGCCAACAGAGGTGCGCCATCTGGAAGCAGGAAGTCGAAAGGCCCTTGGCACTCTCCTGTGTGCTCTGCCTCCATGGAGTGATCCCCACGTCCTGCCCCTAAGTCCTTACGACAGAGCCACATAGCACGGAGAATGGGTGCCTGCCACGGAAGCAGGGGATCCTTCTCTAGATCTCAGTGACCAGAAAACCACCACGCTCTCCCTCTCCCAGCCCCTCTGTCGTGAGGGTCTATATAGTTCTAAACATACTAAGCATCTTGGGTCTTCTATGCTAAGGACAGGGCTCCATGCAGACTTGTGATGCTCTGCCTCAGGCTCCCTGTGCCCATCTTGAGCCCCTGCCCTCACACCCTGGACAAAGGCTCACCTCCTGCAGGATCTGGCTGATGGCTTTGTTCTGATCCATCTGCTGCCATGACAGAATCTGCTGGAACCGCTCATCCATTTCGGCCATGCTGCCAGAAAATCAGCAAATTAATTCACTCTCTGAATGTTTTCTGAGCATCTACCAAGTGCCAGGAACCTTGGAGATCAAAATAAACCATTTACCCATTCAATAATAATACTCAAGCAGCACCTGCTGGGGGTATCTCCTGGGCCGGGCACAGACATGGCGTTTGTCTTAGAAGGAAGGGGACAGAGTCGGTGTGTCTGGGTCCTCTCATCCACCCCTCCATCAGAATCTCCTCTACAATGCCCTTGAAGTAGTGGCCTGGCTTCTGCCCTCCCACCTCCACCAACAAGCTCATGACCTCCCAGGTGGGCCACCTGGGCCGTGAGAAAGCTCTCCTTCTCGGGCAGTAACAGCCATGCCCCACCCGACACCCCCAGCATTTCCCACCCTGGCCTCGGATCTGTTCTTAGCCCCCAGAACAAGTCTAGTGATTCTGGCATAAAAATCCAAACCCTGAAGCCCCACATATGTCCATACTTTGGCATAATCTTGGTTTTGAGTTTGTTTCGTAATGATAGCTGTTATTGATGGGCCCTTTTGTGGCGAAGACCATCCTCGTTAAATCCAATGACTCCAGGGGTAGGTACTGTGCCTTATCCCCATTTTTCTGATAAGAAAACTGAGGCTCAGAAGGGAAGTGGACTGACCCAACACTTCACAGTTACTAACAGAAGGGGGACCTGAGTCCAGGTCTGTCCGCCGCCAGTGCGCCCACTCCTAAGCTCGATGTTCTATCGCCAGGAAAGGAAGGGGAAATCCCCCCACTGTGAGGACACGGGGAGGCTGGGGGCTGTGCCAGAAGCACCTCGACAGGGGGAGAAACACCAGGGTAGCCAGTGCTCCTGGCCCGTCTCCCGAGCACCAAGAGCTCTTCTCCACGGCTGTGCCGACACGTGTGGTTCCCTCAACAGACTAACCCACAGCGAGGCAGTGAACTTGGCCAGCCAGACCCACAGCTGCCGCCAGTGTGAAAGCAACCTATCACCTCTCCCTCCAGGGCATGCCGCTCCCGGCCTCTGCAGACCCTCGGAGGTCGAGGAGGGCGACGCGGTCAAGAGCACGCCCCTGCTCTGCCTGGGCCTGAACCCTGGCTCTGCCACCTGCTGGTTGGGTTTCCTTGGATGTGTCACATAGGCTCTCTGAGCCTGAGCTGTGGTGGCAAAACGGGGCTAATGACACACTGCCGCAGAGAGTCAGTAAGCCAACACACATCCCTTGGCCGAGTGCCTGGCTCACAGGAAGTGCATGAGAAGTGCGAGTGATTGCTGTCACTTTACCAGAGCCTGACCCAATCATGGGGTCCAGCTAGAGAAGTCATGAAGAGCCGTCACCGCTTGCCCATGATGCACGGCCAAGGCTGGGGCGGGGACTGCAGTGCCCAGCGCTCACCCCCACAGTCCTGGGCCCCGAGCCAGTGCCCCCAACTCAGGAAGCCTCTCCTTACCTTACCTGGAACAGGCCTGCTGGACCAAGCTCTGCCTCTGAGACTCGTAGGCCATCTGGATGAGCCGGTTCTTATAGCTCTCGGTCAGCATCTGCTGCATGGCGGCTGAGGAAACATGGGGGTGGGACTGAGAAAGGGGCACCACTCCTGGGGGCCTCGTGGGGTTCACCTCATCACCCGCCTCACAGTTACCCTTAAAAAACACTTTTTTAAAAAAAGATTTGAGAGGGAGAGGTAGCACGCGAACAAGCAGGAGGAGGGGCAGAGGGAGAGGGAGAGAGCATCTCAAGCACACTTCCTGCTGAGCACAGAGCCCGATTTGGGACTTGATCTCACGACCTGGAGATCATGACCTGAGCGGAAACCAAGAGTCAGATGACTGTGCCATGCAGGCGCCCCCCTCCAAAAATTTTAAACTATGGAAGTAACTTAAGCTTGAAAAGGCTATTTGTAAAACACCAAATAGCATGCACACAAAATCTTTTATAATCTTATCACCCAGAGATAATTTGATATATATTCTTCTAGTCAATTTTTAATGCATATTTATAGAACTGAACAGATATTCATACACCCAAATTCACAGCAGTGTTAGTCACAAAAACCGAAAGGTGGAAACGACCCAAGTGTTCACTGACAGATGGTGAACAAAATGTGAATACACAAATGGAAATATTACTCAGCCTTCAAAAAGGGAAGTTCTGACACCTGCTCCAGCAGGGATGAACCCTGAGGAGGTTCTGCTGAGTGAAAGAAGCCTGTCATGAAATGTCAAATACCACAGGATTCCACTTACATGGGAATGTCGTCAGATTCAGCAAGACAGAAAGTGGAATGGGGGTTCTACGTGGGCTGGGGAGGGGGCGGGAGAATCTGTGTTTATCGGGGACAGAATCTCAGTCGGGAAGATGCAGTTCTGGAGCTGGACGGCGGTGGCTGCTGAGCAACGTGGATGTGCCGTGTGCCACAGAGTCGTACAATTACAAGTGGTTAAAATGACAAAGTTTAGGTTATATATTTTACTACAACAACAAAAAAATTACAATGTGACCACGCTAAACACACCACTTCTCACTTTTTGTGACTAATTCCCCATGTCCACGTGGCAGTGTGAGGAACTGGCCGTAGCATACTGCAGGGCACGGATCACCATGGTTTATTTAGATAATCCTCTATTTGGGGGCATTTGGTCTCTTTTGCAATTATTAAATGATAAGTGTCCTTGCCCAAACATCCTTATGCAATTTGATTATTTCCTAAGATTAATTTTTAAAAGAGTACAGTTTTAAGGCCGTGAATAACAGGAGTTACCCTTTCTGCCCTCCAGAAAGATCCCGCTGATTCACATTCCCTTTGGCAGGGCACAGGACAGCATGATACCATATGTCCTCAACAAGGGTTACTACCTACTCTTGACTTCGTTGTTTTATGGAAATCTTTTTAGTTATAAAAATAGTACATGCTCATTTTTAAAAAAACTAAGCAATAAGGAAGTTTAAAAAGGTGAAAACAAAAGTCCCCGGTACTGATACTATTCCTAATCAGTCAATTTATTATTAAACATCCTTCTGGAAATGCAAAAACAGGTTTTCTTTCATATAAATGGTGGGTAATAGTGACCTTAAAATAGGAACATTAATAACACCTCATCAGGAGGGAGTGAGATGAAGTGGTGTATGCAAAGTGCTTGGCAAGGGGCCTGGTACACAGTATTCCATAGTATCCCACTCCAGTATCCAGCCTTGGGAGGATGGGGCCAGCCAAGAAGAACCATTCCTTATTTTAAAAAAAGGAGGAACTGACTCCTGGTCTTCCTTGGCACATGGCTGGATGCTCTCAGTGCTCACGATCTGACAGGAAGTACCCCCCCTCCAAGTATGGACAAAGTGTGGTGCCCTGGGGCCACTTCTTGGGAATGGCAGGATGGGGAGCTCCCAGCAACACAAGAGGGGCCAACCACAGCTCTTGGTAACAGAAATCCTACGGCCTTTGTGAAGTGCTCACTCAGTGCCAGGTATCATCTTGTCTGACCCTCAAATGACCCCATGAGCTGGAGAATTATTGTTCTCCCCATTTCAGATAAAAACATGGAGGCTCCGAATAGTTAGGGACCAGTAATGGCCCTGAGGTCATACAGGCTTGTTTCCGAGTCAGCCATGGACCTCAGGGCCCATGCTTCCCTCCTGGACTTTACTGCCCCTCTCAAGCCCGCTGTACCCGACCTACAGGGAGAAGGTGGCCTCCCCCGCACCCTAGTCAGACAAGCTCTGTTCCCAGGACCCCACACCCCTCCCCAAGACCCTCCCCACTCACAGGCAATCTCACGTCTCCGCAGGTTCTCCGTCTCCTCCTGGGTTATGGACATCAACTGTTCCATCCTTATTCTAGGGGGAAAAAAAATCCATCCATTTACTGAGCAGATCTAACACTTCCAACAGGGAATCGCATCAGAGGAATGCCGCCTTCTTCAGGAAGTCCTCCTTGATGTGCCCACCTAGACCAGCTCCTGCTGCATCACGCACTTCCACCCGGGCCTAACCTACAGCCTGGTAGGCAGAGTTTCTTGCATAACAAGATGAACATTCCCTTCAGAAAACGGGCAAAGGACAAAAACGGCCACTTCACAGATGGTTAAATACAAGTGACCAATAACCACCCGGAAAGAGGCTCACGTCACCGCTAACTAGGAGTACAGGCTGGGAGAGCAGGGGAAGCGCCAAGCACCGTGGCACGCTGAAGGTGAAGCGGGCACTTTTGCGGCCCACTGAGAAGGGCAGCCGCCCGCAAAGCATCTTCCAGAAGGCCATGTGGCAAAACCCATCAAAAGGTCCTTTGAACACGTCCTTCAAAAATATTCACGTCAGGGCACCCGGGTGGCTCAGATGGTTGGGCGTCTGCCTTCGGCTCGGGTCATGATCCCGGGGTCCTGGGATCGAGTCCTGCATGGGGCTCCCTGCTCCTTGGGGGCCTGCTTCTCCCTCTGCCTCTCGCTCTCTCTCTCTCTCGGTCTCTCATGAATAAATAAAATCTTTAAAAAAAAAATATTCACATCAGTGCCTATGTTCAGTAGAATGTAGAATCGAATAGTGCTACAATAGTGCTTGTCATTACGAAATACCGAGAACTTCTGGGTCCACAGAGGATGAATTCGGATATAATCACATAGTAAATACTCTACAGCTATTACCAACGAGGTTTCTGGCGTGGAAACCCATCCGTGACACAGTAAATGAAAATTAAAAGGTAAGTGCACGTCCAGATGTGCACACTGCGTGTGTGCTGTTTCCCCGCTGTAAACGAGTCCTAGGGGCTCGGACAGAACATCTCATCTCTCTGCAGGGTCTCGCTTCGTTGGAAGCAGCATCTGAGCACCTCTGCCTCCTGCCCAGGCCCACAGGCTGCTCGAGGGAAGGCCGCATGATTGGACCCGCGGCCCGGCCCAGGGCACCCAAACAGGGAGAGGGCACTTGGTCAGCGTGCGCCAGATGAACTGGCCACAACCGGGCTGGGCCCTGGCGGCTCCCAGCTCCCGCAGCACCATGGCTGAAGGGGCCAGGTGAGGGGGCTACCCTACAGGAGTTCTTCCCAAGCAGCCAGGGGCCTGGAAGGCCGGCATAAGGACCACAGCAAAGCCCACGCTGCTATTCTGGAACTCCAAAGAACCAGGAGGGATTCCGGATAATCCTGAGGGGGAGGGGAGCAGGGGGGAAGGAGAGAGAGGAAAGAAAGGGGGCTCTTCCCTCTCAGCTATCCTCTTTCCTACTTACTAAAGGGGTGCGTCTCAGTAAACCTGGAAAACACAAAGGAAAACACCCAAAGATCACCACGTCTAATTTCTGCCTCTCAGAAATGTTTGGCAAGCCACTCAGGGTGGCTCCTTGTGCTCTCTGAGCAGATACACACTGTGTTTTAAAGAAATCATACACTGCTCTGCTTTAACTGCAGCCCCCACTTTTCTACTTTGTGAAAAATTGTGTTTCCCTCAATAAGAAATGGATTTTTCTGATTTTTTTATATTAGCCATATAGTTGGATATTACACATTTACGTCTCAGTTTTTCTCAGGAATGTACATGTGTGTTAAACTTGCAGGTGGTGATTCTTTTTAAATATCTAAGGAGGTGAATCTCCTTACAGCTTTAGGAAAACTTTCTGGCATAATCCTTGAGAATCACAAGATCTTCTCTCCCCAAAACCTCCCCCCCAACCCCAAGGCAACACTGAGAAAGTGCTTGAGCGAAACGCTAACCTTTCATTTTCCAACGACTTCAAGATCTCAGAACTTTTCTTTTGCCTGTGGAGAGAACCCAAACCATAAAAGGTCACTGCAGTTGTCACCAGCAGGCCTGTTTCCAACAGAACTGCCCTCCCCTCGCTGCACTGGCTGTGAAGAGGGGGCTTAGGAACCGGCCGGGGTTCTCAGCTCAGAACCTCGGGGCTCTGTGTCCTCGGGCCAGGTACTCAGCCACACCAAGCCCCAGCTCCTCATCTGCAAAATGGGATCATCATGAGAAAAGCTTCACGGAGTATTTGTAAAGAGCGAATGAGAGACTATACACAAAGTGCTCGGCATGTAAGCAGCACCCGCCAAATGGTAGCCTTCCGGTCGCTTGCCTTGGTGGGGAGAGCACGCTGCGTGGCACGCGGCAGGCCTGCTGGCTCGCTCGGGCACCGTGTAACGGCTGCGTGATGGAGGAGCGAGTGAAAAGCAAAAGGAGGCCTGGAAGGAACAGGGGATATAGCGAAAGCCTGTTTCTGGAGGCTTTCCCCAAGGGACCCCAACTAGAGATTCTGGAGACCTCCATCTGGCTTCCTTTCCCCCAAGCCCACCGAGACTGGCTCCTAGCCCCGCCCACCCTGGACAGGATTTGGTAAGGCAAAATCTCACTATGGCTGACCTCAGCGCAATGGGTCACTTGGAACCTAAAATACTGGAGCAGGATGTGGTCTCAACTCTCCTGTTGCACCCACTCATTTCACAGACGGGACACTCGGGAGGCACGGGTCTGAGGACGAGCCACAGACCAGGTCAGGCCCAGAGCAGATGCTTTTCTCTTTAGGCTGGTGCAAACTGCAGCACCAAGACTGGACCCTAACAATAAAAACCTCAGGCAGGGATCGAGACTGTAAGGGAGAAATGGATCCCTATCCTGGGCTCTTCAAAGGGTACCGATGTCAGGGAAGGTCTCTGGGTCTGGGGAGTGGGGGCCTGACCTCTGGTTATCCTGCAGGAGTTTCTGGATCCGGTTGGAGATGTTCTGCTCCGTCTGCTTCAGCTGCTCCTGCAGCCGCTGCCGCTCGGCGTCCAGACAGCGCTGTCGCTCACTCAGGCCCTGCTCCAGCCGGGACTGCTCCTGCAGCAGGACAGGCAGCCAGCCTGAGCTGGCAGCAAGGGGCCCTGTCCTGCCAGGCCCTTCCGTGTGATCTTGGCCCAGGGCTTCCCCGTGCTAGGCTCGGGGTGTCCATCACACACGAGGAGGCTGGCTAGGGGATCTGTAAGGGCCCCCCAGGCTCTGGAAGATCAAGGGAGAGCGCTAACCCCCACCGCCTCCCCACAGCAGAGGGCCCCCCTGGCAGGGAGTGTGCAGACAAGCCTGACCCCACTTGGCCATTCACGGACCTCCTTGACCGTCTGAAGGATCTCGTCCTTCTGACTGTTGCTCTGCTGAAGGAGCTGGGCATGCTCTCGCTGCCCGAGTTCCAGACGCCGTTCAAACTCCAGTTTCTCCAGCATCTTCTGTTCCTGCAAGAATACAGATCCTGGCGATGACTGGCAAAGCTCTGTGGGCGTCAGGACATGGGAGCAGGGTGAATCCACGCCTCAACTCCCAGTAGTGCGGGCTGAAGGTCTTCACACCGAGCAACATCCTCCAAACCTAGTGCCTCCCATTAACCATTCCCCCACCCCCCGGGCCCAATTGTAATAAAACATTCTGTTCACTGGCAGAGGCTAGAGGTTTAAAGTCTGGGGTCCCTGAGCCTCAGACTGCGCATCTGTGAGGTGGAGATACCCTTTCACCACCGAGGCTGCGTTAAGGATGTGGTGAGGTAATGTAGTTAAGAGGAAACCTTTAGTTTACCATCTAATTTAGAGACAGGAAGAACTTGTTCCCTCAAATCTTTTATAATAGATCTTTGATAAGAAGAAAAGTGGCCAAGGGAAAAAAGACATTTTCTTACCTTCCTCTTCTCATAGTCTGAGAACCTATTCTGGGGGGAAAAAGACAGTGGTCAAGAGAAGGTGGCAGCAGTGGGATTCCCGGCCTGTGGCCAGAATCATGGGGCAGTCAGAAACCAGCTCCACCCCTAGAGCACTGTGTCAGAATGGGGGGGGTGGTGGAGGGGGACGAGATGGAAGGGTAGTCTGATAAAGGCTCCCAGAGGGTTCTAGCAGACAGCAGGGCAGAGAACCACTGGGCTTGGCACAGGGTAGGAAGCTCTTCAGGATAGTTCTGGGGGTGCAGCCCTGAGAAGGTGTAGTGCTCCATAAGGGGGACCAAGAAGTGGAATGTGGGATTCCCTGTCCGTACAGCATACCTGCAGTGCCCCAAAACTCTAGCCCACCAAAACACAAACACAAAGGGACACGTACAAGTTCCTACAGAATTGTTCTACAGAGTAAAAACCCTGGCAATAACTCAGATGGTTACTTCAGTAAGTCATGGTGATTCCGTGCAGTGGGTCACACAGCTATCAAGTAACGGGGTGAAGGTGGGGAGTTGCAAGGAAAGAGGTCTGCCACCTTTCACTCTGTGTGCGCAGGATTCTGTTCTCGTAAGAACACAACAAAACTCAACTTAGAGTTTTGTATCTGTTCAGATCGGACTCAGGAAGGAGATGCATTAACAGGTTGTGATGATTACCTCCAGGGTGTGGGACTGTGGGGTGGGGGTGGGGGGGTGATTTCGCTTAGTTTACATATTTCTGTATTGTTCAGACTTGTAACAAGGAGCATGAATTACTCTTATAGTTAAACATCAACACACACACACACAGATATCTTTAAGTGGCCCTTGAATTTAGTTATCCAGCTCAGAGGCCAGGATCAAGCTGTCTGAGCTGTAAAAGCAGCATATTATAAGGAAATCGGGTTTGTCCCATGCTGAGGTAGGAGTAAAATTTTAAAATTAACTTTTAATTATACAGATAATATCGGAATATATTCTCTTCGTAAAAAATTAAAACAGCACGTAAGGTATCCATGGACCACTCCCCAGCCTGATCCTCGTTCCCTTCTGTCCCCCTGCCATGTAACTACCATTACCAGACCCAAGTGCACGCATTTATTTATACATAATTTGTGCCTTTGGAAAATACAGAAGATTTGGCTGTGTGTGCTCATATATAAATATGTTTTAATGAAGGCAAAATTCATTCTGTAAAATTCATTCTTCTTAGTATGCAGTTCTAGTCATGTAATGGTCACTACAGTCAAGATAGAGAACCACCCCATTACCCCCCAAAATTCCCTCGTGCCCCTTTGTCAGACTGTCCTCCTACCCACTCCCCCATGTTAATGGCTATTGCTGATCTGCTTTCCTATATATTTGAACCTTTCTGAACATAAAAAGGGCACTAAACTATATCCACTGTGTTCTGCGGCCTGCCCTTTTCACTCACCCATCTGTCCCGTGATCCACGCCTGGATAGATCTAGTGCATAGCAGGGACAGGGCACAGATGGCTCAGCCTTTGCCCACTGGCAGACATTTAGGGGGCTTCCAATATTTCCCTACTGCAAATAAGGCTGCAAGGAACATTCTTGTAAATGTCTCCTTGCACAATGTCTCTCTGTGTGTATGTACCAAGAAGTGGGACTCCTGGATCATGGGCGAGGGCCACAGCCACTTAAATTTTTAACCCATATTATCAGGTTATCTTCCACAAGTGGGAACACCGGTTTCCATTCCCAAGAGCAATTTATGAGGCCACTGTTTCCCCACACTCTGGCCAAGAAATTATCCAAGTGACGCTTGTGCCAATCTGAGGGAGGAAACAGTATTTTGTTGTTTTAGTTTACCGGTCTCTGATTACTAGGGGAATTGGGTTTTTTTCACGTTTACTGATCATCTGTACTATTTTTTGGTTAGTTTTTAAGTGCGCTCTATGCCCAACGTAGGGCTTGAGCTCATGACCCTGAAATCAAGAGTTAGGTGCTCTACCAACTGAGCCAGCCAGGTGCCCCTCATCTGTACCGGTTTATTCTGTAAAGTACCTGTTGATAGATCTTTGGCTTTTTTTTTTTCCCTCTTGGGATGGTTTTCTGCTTCTTACTGCTTTGAAAGAGCTCTTTATATGTTCAGTCTGCTAATCCTGCATCAGAAATGTTTGTTGCAAATACTTCCTGAGAGTATAAAGGGACATGATTTTCCTGGATCGAGATCTTCCCCCTCTCTAGTTCTCACTGAGCTGCCAAGAGAAAGACAAAACTACGAAGGCCCACATGGTGGCACTGTCAAACAGGGAAGGGGGGCACCAGGGAACCAGAGAGGAATAAAAAGTCCTTGGAAGGTAAGAAGTCAAACCCTTGGCAGCTGGTCCCCACCCCCCCGCCTGCCATCAGAGGCCCCGGGCTGTGGGCCCCCTGTGGGAGCGCAGCGGGGGGACAGAGGTGGCTTCTGACTGCCTCCACTGTCAGGTGCCCCTGGCTGATGCGGCCAACTCTGACCAAGCTTCCTCTATGCCCGTCCTGGGCCAGCTCGCCCCCTGGGACCGGGGGGGGGGGGGGCAGCCCCTTGCTGTCCTGACGTGTGCCTCCCTGACTGCTCACAGAGAGGAGAGCATGACAGGAGTCCTGTACAGCAAGGGGCACCGAGGCACGAAGTACTTGCTGAGAGACAACAAGGAACAATACAGACACGATCCCCAAGCTCCCCAAGCTCCATCCAGCAGGGGAGACAGACATTAAACAAATCATCTCCCATGTAATTCTTCATTTAGAGCCGTGATAAGTGCTCCCAAGGAAAAGTGGGGCACCTGGAGAACATAGAGCAGAAGACCTGACCCGGGCTGATGTGGCGGGAAGACTTTTCAGAGGACGTGGGATTCAGACACAACTGAAGGATGAGGTGGAGTTAGCGAGAGAGGAGCAAGGAGAATTCCAGATTGCGGGGGGGACTGCAAGTTCAAAGGTCCCGAGGGGTTCAGGGAGCAGGGAGGAGCCTGGTGCATGTTTGGTGAGGTGGTGGGGTGAGGGGGCACAGGCTTTGTGAGAGCATCTCAGCACACTGGTCCGGATGGAGGTGAATTCTAGTTTGGTGGGGGAATCCAGGGCCTCCAGCTCTGACCATCCCCCCAGTGCCCAGGGCCCCCTGGGTGTGCCCTGCCCCCCCCCCCCCCCCCGTCAGCAGGCAGGTACGCCTTACCTGCCACTCTACCTCCTCCCGGGAGAATCTGTCCGTGGGTCCATCAGGGCTGTTCCGGGAAGTGTTGGCTCTGTCCTGCTCCAGGACCGGCAGCAAGTACTGAGAAGGAGGGTAGTATTCCAGCCCTGACTCTGCAAGAGAGGACACAAGCTGAAAAGGAGGGAGGGGACAGAAACGTCAGCTCCTGCAACCTCTGACTTCCTCCCCAGCGTCCTGTCCTATCTGCCTGGTCCACTGCTCCCCTGCCCTGGACTGAACCGGGCCCTCCATCTTGCTCACTAGTCCTAATGCCAGGGCCTGGAATATGGCAAGCACTCAATAAGTGTCAGCTGAGTGAATAGATATGCTGGCCAGCTGCCTCACCATCCACGTGAGAATGAAATGGTGAGAAAAGCCTGGATATTAGTGAAGAAGCCTGGGTCCATAATCTCCTATGTGTATGAGACCTTGGACAAGACGCTCACCTTCTCAGGCCCTGCATAATCTCCTATATAACTTGACAGGGTCTCCTATATAACTTGACAGGGTTCATACTCTACCCATTTTTGAGTGGGTTGCTTGCCTTATTCTTGTAGATTTATAGGTGCTCTTTATATACTGTAGCTAATAACCTTGGGCCTATAATATATATCTTCTTCTAGATGGTAACCTTTTTTTTTTTTTTAAAGATTATTTATTTATTTATTTGACAGAGACACAGCGAGAGAGGGAACACAAGCAGGGGGAGTGGGAGAGGGAGAAGCAGACTCCCTGCCGAGCAGGGAGCCCGATGCGGGGCTCGATCCCAGGACCCCGGGATTATGACCTGAGCCGAAGGCAGACGCTTAACGACTGAGCCACCCAGGCGCCCCTAGATGGTAACCTTTTTAACTTTAATGATGGGATCCTTTTGAGGTAAAGAACTTTTAGATTTTAATACGGTCAAAGCTGTCTTTTAAAAATATAAACAGGAAAAGAAGTACTAAAAATGGCCAGTAGGCGTATGAAAAAATATTCAAAAAACCAAGGACATGACATTACAATAATAGTAGGCTGCTTTTATCCATCGGAATAAAGAAACTAAGAAGAACTTTAAAGATGACACACCAAGTGTTATTTATGGGAAGGAGAAAAGGGTCCTCTCAGAAGCTACTCACAGGAACCTAAACTGCTGCAGTGCACAGCGCTTGGCCCCTTTCGCCTGCCAGCCCCACTGTGGCCTGCCCTGGAGGAATACGCCCACGGTGCCAGAGAGGGCTGGGTTAACGTGCTTGCAACAGTGGAAGACTGGAAATAAGCTCACGTTCACTATAAGAGGAAGGCTACATAAGCTGCGGGGCTCCAACACGTGACATACTAGATAGAACTTTAAAACAAGACAGATGCATCCGTCATGAGATAGGAAAAGGCCCAAGACCTATTTTTGAGTGAGAAAAGCAGGGCTCAGAATCACAATAGTGCACTATCTTTTGTGGATTTTAAAAGATGTTTTTCAGAGAGCAAACCCCCAAAATTTATGTACATATTTATACATACTACACCGTGTAAACAAATTGAAGAATTACTTCTTAAGCTGCAGAGCAAGCCTACACATGTTCACTGCCTTATTCTTTGTCTTCTCTATACCTAGAAATCGCATAATTGAAAAATCTTTTTAAGGAAGATAAAGGGTTTGGGTCGGGGGATGGGTGGCATAGGAGAAGGGGATTTAGAAGCACACAGTGATGAGCACTGAGTCACGTACAGAATTAAGTCCTCAGGTGGTACACCTGAAGCTAATGTAACACTATGTTAATTATACTCGAAGAATTTGTCTAGCTCGGCTACTGGCTGGGGTACACATCGGAGTCACCTGTTGCTCGAAGACTAATTTGGTAGGTGTGTGGCCTGAGGAGCCGTTGTGGGATGTGTAACTTTTTTTTTAACTAAAGTATCACATACATAGAGAAAAGAGCAAAAACTCTTCACGTATAGCTTGGTGAATGTTTAAGAGTGAAATCACCCTTATGAACAGGACTCGGTTTGGGGTCAGTGCTCGTGTGCTGATAAAAGTGTCTGCGAGGTTCACCGTGGCCATAGCAGTAAGACTGCTTTTTTGGTTCCTTTTGACTGCTGTATCGTATTCACGTGTGAGTCTGAGACAGCGTACTGACCCGTTCCACCACCGACGGGCATTTGGGTTGTGTGCGGTTTGGGCTATTATGAACAGTGCTGCCATGAGTATTTCTGTACTTGGCTTCCGACATATATTCATATGGACAGATCCTTTCCAACTTCATGGCTTGCCCTCTTTCCCTAAATGGTGTCTTTCTGATGTTAGTGAAATGTAATTTATCAACACTCTATGGTTGGTGCTGCCTGTTGAAGGAAGAAATTAAGGTTCTTTTTCCCCACATGAATATCCAGTTGATCTGGAATCATGTATGGAAGACTTCGCTTTCCTTTCTTGTTGCTTTGCCATGACATCTGTCACCCACAGCTGTATGAGTCTTGGCCGTGTTCTACAAGTTCCCCAGGTGACAGGAGCCCCTAATTAAGACCATCTGCCAGACGGGAGGTGGCCAGGTACTCTGCCCTCCCCTCTGGGCACCTGGACCAATGGTGGCTCTGGGTTTTAGCTGCACTGTCACTTCTCCAAGTCCAGTCCACCGTGGCCTCGGTCCTGGATGACCCCAATGACCTCCTAACTGGTCCCTGGCCTCCACACTTGCTTTCTCCAGGCCCTTCTCCCTGCAGGTGGAGTGAGCCCTGTCCTGTGCAACACCAGGCCCCAAGGGCCTCCCCAGCCCCCTCTGCCACACGCTTCCCACTGCCCTACCCTTCTAGGCCCTTCAACATGCTTCTCCTCCCACCAGCAATGGCCTCCTCTCCTTCCTAAGTCCTAAACGCTCTCAGGTTTCAGCCAAGCCACTTTCTCGGACCTTCCCTGATGCCCCAACCTAACCAGTAACTCGATTTCCTGTGACCATCTGCTTTGCTTGTGTCTCCTGCCAGATCTGGAGAGCTCCGAGCAGGCGGGAACTGTGGTCTCCCCGGTCTCTGCTGTCCCCCAAGTCTGGGCTGACACAGGGCGGTTGCTGGGACCATGCTTCTTCGCTGAGCGAAGGAGGCAGGCTGCCTGGCTTTACCTTTGCAGAGGAACTGCTGAATGGCCCGGGTGCCGGCACTGCACACCTCCTGCGGGGGGTAAACCATGGACGAGGCGTCGAGGCTCAGAGTCTGTGGACACAAGGGGAACCTCTTTATACATGTTATCAACACAATCCCAAAGCACCTGGTTTAGTTACGAAGCTGTGTCCACCGTGTCCTCTGCTGAGCAGGGGCAACTTACCTGTCTTGTTCCTGCTGCGTTTCCAGCACCTAAAATGGTGTCTGGTGTGCAGCCAGCACGTGACTCACGGTTTTGGATAAAAACTTAAATAAGTGGGAAAAAAGGAAATTGGAGGACAACATACAGCATAAGATTCCATGTTTGTTAAAAGAAATACTCCTATTCTCTCACATTAGTATATTTATAAAAAAAACGTGTGGAGGAATATATATCAAACTCAAAATGGTTTCCTCTAAAGGGGAGATTCTGGGGTACTTTCTACATGAAATGGGAATTTTTTAACAACGTGATTTTTTAAGTAAGAAAAAACCCAATGTTTATACGGGCACACATGCACCTGCTTCTGGGTTTATGAGGCCCAGGAAGCAGGGACCTGGTTCACACAAATGCCCACAAAGCTGTCCACAGCCCTACCGTGAGGTTTCCCGTTGTTCTTGTTTGTTGAATCAAGCCCTCCTGCTATCCTCTTCTTCCCAGAGGCCTCCTGGACTTGGCACGAGTTATCTAAAGCCCCTTTCAGGAGCCCGTATCCTCTCTGCCTGGGACAGACAGGCCCGCCCCAGGGGAAGGCCTGAGGGACCAGGCCGGAAGTGGCCGAGTGGGGAAAGCAGCTCAGACGCCCCCCAGGCCTGGCGAGCACAGCCCTTCCACCCGGGGACACGCACTGCAGGGGGAGCCTGCCCTGGAGCACAGGAACCAACTGCGTGAGGTTGAGGCGCCCGAGAGCAGAAAACCCCATCCTGGGAGGCCGAACCTAAAGAGAATTCACCCACATGGGTAATACTGATCACCAACAGGGAAGTTGGGTGCTGGGGCTGCACCACCTGGTTTGGTGGCCATGAGCCACGCCTGGCCATGTCGGTTTACGTTGTGACTGACTAAAATGAAAGCGAATTTAAAGCTCAGTCCCTCAGTGGCACCAGCCACAGGTGGCCGCGGCTGTGGGCCGCGGGACACACAGATGCGGGTGTCCCTGTTATCGGCGGGACCAGCAACTGGACAGCGACGCATGCGGTCAGACCCCAGCTCGTCCTGTCCCAGCTGTGTGCCCTGGAACAGGGCAGCTGACTTCCCTGAGGCTCGGCTCGGCTCCCTCCGAGTTCAACGGGCACGACAGCACCCAGCAGCAGGGCGGTTTGATGGGCAATAGATAAAACGTGAGAAAGACCTTGGCCTTAATTGAGAATGGTCACTTATGGTCTCATCCTGAAAAAGGGTTTGTCCAAGGTGCCACCAAGAAGCTCAAAAGCTGTTTTTTTAAAGAATGGATGTAAAGTACAGCACTCCCAGAGCTCCCACTAGCTGACGTACGAGGGCTTCAGAATCAGCGTCGCTGTGAGCTGTGCGCTCAGGTACAGTGGCCACTAAGCACATGGGGGGTCTGGGTGGCTCAGTCAGTTAAGTGTCTCTCAATTTCAGCTCGGGTCATGATCTCAGGGTCGTGAGATCGAGCCCTACATGGGGCTCTGCGCTCGGCGGGGAGTCTGCTTCTCTCCCTCTCCCTCCGTCCCTCCCCCTGCTTGCATGCGTGTGCTCTCTCTCTCCCCAGTAAATAAATAAATCTTAAAAAAGAATGTACAAGTCAACATGTACTTCCTTGGTCATACTAGTCACACTCCAGTGCTTGAGGGCCACACGTGGCGAGTGGCTATCGACTTGGGACAGCAGTCACTGGACATTTCCATCACTGTAGAAAGTTCTGTTGGACAGCACTGTCTCTCCAGCCTGCCTAGGGAGAGGGGCTGACCATCCTGTCCATTCTCAGGCTGGCTGCCACAGCGGGAGGGACCAGCCCCTGGGGTCAGCCCCCTTCCTTTGCTGTCTACATGCTCACCCACCCACTTCTGATAAAGATGCTGATAATCAGCAGTCTGGACTGAGAGGTAATTCACTGATGGCTCATCAGAGGGTTCTGGGATGTTGGCCAGACTATGTGTCATCGTGGAGAGGTAAGTCCCTGTTCCAGAGGCTGAGGTGCACAGAGGTGAAGAGCACACTGCCTGGTTTTCAACCCCATCTCTGCTATCACTGCTGTGTGGCCCCTGGGCAAGCTCCTTAAACTGCCCATGGCCTCGCTGCTTCACCTGCAAAGGGGCACAGCGGTATCTGGCTTGCAGGATATTCTTGAGGATTCAGGGAACTGATGCAGATTAAGCACCTAGCCTTGTAAGCACCAGATAAATGTGGGCTGTCTTGTCATCACAACCGTAAGGGCCCCCACCTTCCCTGAGCAAGCTGCCTTGTGTCAGTGTCTGTTAAGGCCTGAATTGTGTGACCCCCAAAAACATATATATGAAGTCCTAATCCCCTGTTACCTCAGATGCCACTGCATTTGGATGTAAGGTCTTTAAAGAAGTAAACAAGTTCAAAATGAAGTCACCAGGCTGGGCCCTAATCCAGTATGTCTGGTATTCTTATCAGAAGAGGAGATTTGGACACAGGCCCATTGAGAGGGAAGATGACGTGAGGACATAGGGAGAAGAGAGCCATCTACAAGCCCCGGAGAGAGGCCTCAGAAGCAACCAACCCTTCCCTTGGACTTCCAGCCTCCAGAGCCGTGAGAAAATAAATCTCTTGTTCAAGCCACCCTGGCAAACCAATACAGTGACCCAGGAAGGGCTTGTCCCCCCTCCCTGCTCTGATGCTCAGCTTCCACACCTCCAAGGTGTGGAAGGCTGCTCTCCCCGTCACGGAGCTCTGGGCTCTTCGCACTCTGGACCCTCCAAGACACAGCAACTGCCAACCACACCAGATCCCCCATTCCTCCCTTAACACCTCCTGCGTTCTCTGTACTGTCCCCTGCACCTGAATGCTCCGTCACCCGTGTCTACTTCTCCGAAACAAGTTCCTCTCTCCAGGTCCGGCTCAAACACATCTTTCACAGAGTGTCGACCCCCCCGGGATTCAGCGTTCTGTCTTCACTCCAGGAGTGTGTATTTCTGTCACTGTCACAGCAGCAGAAGTCACGTAATGACAACTGCTCGACATCGCCCTCTCTGTGAGCTAACGACCGAGCCCAGCACTTCCTGGCGAGCGCAGGCACTCAGGAACGTGGAAGGGGGCGTGGGTGGGCCAGGGCGAACCCCAGGCAAGAACGGTTCCGCACTTACTTCCAGGGCTCGAACATGCGCGAGTAGCTGTGGTAACCTCCGCATCTCGTTCTCGCTGATGTCGAGAGTACGTAAGCTTCGAAGTTCCCCCAGGGTGTCTGGAAGCTCCTTCAGCTTGTTATCTGGAGAGATCCCAATGGCACAGCTCAACTTCCCAAAGCCCCTCCACCAGCTTCCTGCCTGACGCCGCCAGGACCTGGGGGCACGTGGGTGCCTCACTCTGATCCCGGGGTGTGCGCCAGGTCCTGAGACCTGAGGCTCCGTGAGGAAGGGCACAGGGATCCAGTTTCAGTGGCCTGGGTTCAAGTTCTTACTCCACCACTTACTAGCTGGGTGACTTTGGAAAATGGACTTTACCTCTTTGGGCCAGTTTTCTCATGTAAAATGGGGATAATGATACTGTTTGGGCTCATAGGAGCATCAAAGGATTCCACGAAACTATGCATATGAAGCCCTTAGCCTTCAGCACAGTGCCTGTCACACCGTAAGTGATCAATAAACACGGTATCATTATTTTTACCATCATTTCGATGTTACCAATGAGTAAACTGAGGCATTTTGTGCAAAAGTGCTTAAGGACAACCAGAGGACACGAGGGAGCTGGGGGTATGGGAGGCAAGCACCCTGCATGTGACTCTGGGCTCTGTAACTATCACACTGGGTGGTCTTGAGCAAGTCACTGCTCCCAGCCTCTTTTCTTCCCCTGTCAAGTGGGGGGCACCCCTCCCCGTCCCTGCCCGATGGACTTGGGAGGCTCTCTGCATCGCCAACTGAGGAAGCGCTCCTCCCCGAGGGTGAAGCGCTCGCTGTCAGAACCTGTACCGTGGCTCCTGGACGCTCTCCCCCAGCTAGGCTGCCACTCCGAGCGTGCCTCATTACTACAGATATGGGGGTCCGAGTCCGGGAGCCTGGCTGTCAGAACTGGCTAGCCTCCTCTCTGTAAGGCCCTAAAGAGTCACAGGAACTCTCCAGACACCCTGTCTCTCATTACCATGGAGACAGACCCCCCCACCCAGAAGGGGGTCAGTCCATTTTATAGGGACGCTCCAGGACTGGCTGCCCTCCTGCTCAGTGGTTCCCAGGAGGAGCACTCTGTGGATGCTGGCCGAAACAGCCCAAAGCCGACCGAAGTCACATGGACAGGGCGTTCTGGCCCCTACCTTTCACATTGAGGGTCTGGAGCTGGATCAGGTTCCCAATGGAACGTGGGAGATACGTCAGTTGATTCCTTTCCACATTCAATACCTAAGAGAAAGGGGAAAATGACACGAGAACCCAGACACAGAGAATCGGGTCCAGCCCTGCTTCAAGCCAGGCAGCATCTGGGTGCCGCATACACTTTAACTCCCCCTGACAGCCCTGCGAGGAAGGCACCGATGGTTATGATCCCTCGGGCTCAGAGTGGTGAAGTCACGTGCCCAAGAGAGCAGAGCCAGACCTGGAGCCGGTTCTTGCTGAGATTCCACCATTTATGGAGACCACAGAATGCCCCATGATGGTCCCACAATCAAGCAAGGAGGAAGAAGGGGATGAGCAGGTTCAGGGACCTGGGGGAGGCAGCCTATGACAGGGCTCTAGGAATCCCAGTGCTGGGGGAAGGAAGCTGAGCTGCATAAAGGCAGTGGGATATGCCCAAGGTCTCAAGGCTGGCAGCTGGTGGTGCCCAGACAGGATGGCAGGTCTGCTGGATTCTGCAGACCGTGCTCCCTCCTGGATGTGGCACTGTGAGGGGAGCAAGGCCAACAGGATGGCATGCTAAGTACTCATTAAACACTGATGTGATGGAAAGCTAAGGAGTCATTAAAAATAACATGGCAGATGAATATTTGATGAACCAAAAGATGGTTAGGAGTTACTGTCAGGTATCTAAAAGTTACAAATCAATGAATGCAACAATTCTATAAAAATATACACGTTAAAAAAAGTCCCCAAAGATCCTACACCCAGGTATTCACTGTGGCTTCCTAAGTGGTGACAATTCCTACTATTCTGCCACATGTTCTGTGTGCCCTTGGGCACGTGACAGGCATCCCTCTGGACCTCAACTTTCTCACCTGTAAAATGCCACATCACCCACATCATAGGGTTGTTCATTCCCATCATTCCCATGTTGGAGGCAGCGTGTGAGGTGGGGGTGCAGCCCTCCAAGGACTACGTCTCCGTCAAATCAGTAAACCCTTCATTAGGAACTACGCACGGCCATTAGTGCTCCCAAGGAAACAAGCTGGGGCTGAGACAGAGGCCCAGAAGGTGGACCTACTTTGACAGGGAGGTTGGGAGGGTTCTCAGGGACGTTTGGGCTGACAGAGGAGGAGCCGCTCAGGCAGAAGGGAGAGCTGAGGTCCGCACGGAGAGGCCCTGCGCAGTAGGGCAGGAAGGCCAGAAGGAGCTGACTGCCGGGAGCGAAGGGGACAGGAGAGGAGGCGGGACAGCAGGTGGGCCCATCGTACAGGGTCTGAAGGGGCACAGTGAAGAGAATGTGTTTTAATGTAAGTGTGAAGGAAAGCCGCTTCTTCCTCTGTAAAATGGGGCTAATGCTAGCACCTGCCTGACAGGGAGGCTGCAGGAAATCAGTAGATAATAGGAGGGAAACGCTCAGTTCCTTCATGCCCTTGTGGGCATGCGGGGGGCCCACGACTGATCCGAAGTGGGACGATGAGTCAGAGTGCTGAATTCATCATTTCCTGCTTCCTCCTTGTGGAAGCTCACGATGAAATCCCAAAAGCACAAGCCAAAAATATGGCATGGAGATTCCCACAGCTCAGACTCCCATGGCCAGGGCATCACCGAGCTTCCTGACGGGAAAGGGGCAGAGGGCGCCGGTGCCCAGGGCGGCCGTGGCCAGAGCCCCACCAGAACTCTCCAGGCTCGTGCAGTTTCTCACTTGCCGTCAGAGGCAGGTGTTGTGTGTCCCGCAGCCATACCTGGAGGGCAGTCAGCTGCCCTATGTCGTCAGGAAGAGCTGACAGCTGATTATCGTGAAGATCCAGAACCTGCAGGAGGAAGACAAGCTTAGGGGTCACAGTCACCAACTGAGAAAGCCCGCAGACCTCTGGCTCTGGGGAGGTGAGAAGATACCGGGGCCCCTTCCTGCCTCTGGTGTTGAAACAACACCAGCCCCTCCCTCTCCAACTACGGGATCATTCCATCTCAGCTCCTTTTTCAAAACCATTTCTTCCTTTTTCTTTATCAAATATTTATTTTTAGCTGTTGAGTGAAAACAGTATGCTATGAAACGGTATGCCTAAGTATTTATGTTAAAAAGGAAAACCCTCAGAGTATAAGCACATTTACGTAGAAAAAGACCATCAAATATGCAATAATATACTGACGGTGGTTCTCTGGAGTGTGAGATGACATTTTTCCTCCTTTGCTTAATTGTATTTGCTAATTTTTTTAGCAATACAAATGAGCAAACAAGGCATAGATCATATATACGGGTACATAAATATGTTCCATTTACATATATATGAAATAGAAACATGCACAAGTATAAAATACATATTTAAAAAATGTATAAAATGTTATTTGTTTTACTACAAAAATAACAAGTGTTGGGCTAGAATAATAAAGAGAAGTAAAAACCACCCCAACTCCTACAAACCAGAGTTAACCACGAAAGCCACTCTGATGCCTGATGCTGCCATTTTTTTCTATGGCGTGCGCCCACGGTCAGCTCATGTTCACGTGGAATAATCCCGAGGCCACAGGCCACATGTACTGTGAATATGTCCCAGTCCCTGTCCCCGAGAGGCTGTCAGGAGGAAGTCAGCCCCACACCGACCGCATGATGCCCGGCGTCCCTCCGGGGCCTTCTTGTTTGGGCCCGTCAGTCTCCACACTCTGAGTTCACCTGCTCTGAGTTTTCTGCTTTGCCTTTCTACCTGTTGGGCAAGTTCCCCTGAAGGCAGGGCCTGTGGCTGGTTATCTCTGCAACCCCACCCCATGCACAGCACTCAGGTGCCCCATAAACTGTGCTAATCCAACCCCAGCCTGACTATTAAGTTAGGCTCGTGTAGCATTAACTTTAACAAAGGGAGCTTGGCTGTCACGTGGTACACCAGGCAGAGTCCCTGAGCCCTGGGAGAAGGGCCCCAGTACCTTGATGGTTATGAGACTCAGGAGGCTGCAGGATTTAGGGAGCAGGGAGGTGAGGTGATTCGTGTGGACAACCAACACCTGTGTGGGAAAGATGTGTGGTGTGTCAGCCGGAGGGAGAGCGGCAAGCACGGCAGCCAGCCTGGTGTAGGATGCACTGCAGACCCTGCTTGCGGCACTCTTCCCTGCTTTCCCGGACACTGCAATGGGGGACGTGGCTCAGAATCGTGGAACCTCCAAATGGGGAATCAGATGACCTGAAAGCCTGTAATTTCAAGGGTGGAAGGGATCTTCGGGGCCTAATGCTACCTTCCATCCTGAGAAGGGTCCCCGTGCAGCTGTCCTGATTGTAACCTCCCCCAGCGTCAGCATCGTCATGTGGGGAACAGAGAATAATAAAGTACTTGCCTCTGAGGGCTGCCTGTACGATTAACAAAATAACAGACAAAAAGCACTGAGCCCAGGGCTGGCCTGGGGTCCGGTGCTCAATCCGTGTCATCTGTTGCTATTTGTATAGCATCGACCCCCACATAGAAACTTCTAGTGTCAAGGAGCTCACTAGGCTGTTTCTCAGTCACCAACTGAGAAAGCCTGCAGACCTCTGGGGCATTTTTTACCTCCCTTCATTAGATAATTCATTTAGAATGCTCCTAGTTGTCTACATGCAAAGCCGCGATGCCTTTCCGAAAAATCATTCATTCCATTCTTACTCTCTCTGCCGGGTGACCAGAACGAAGTAAGTACAGCTTTCATTGTTATGAACAACAAGGTCACCCCGTGTTTACTGCGGCAGGCGTCATACCCGGTGCATTCCAGTCTCCACCTACCTCCCTCCCTACGTGTCACTCTTTTAATTCTCATGCTACCTCTGTGAGAGTAGAACTAGAAATAGGAATGTCTTCATTTCACAGATGAAAAAAAAGGATGTAAGAGTTGGCGGAAGTTGCCCAACTCATGAGGGCCAAGGCCAGGATGTGACCCAGGCCCATCTGACACCAAACTTAACTCTTCCAACTGTGCAAACACCTACTTCAAGCTGAAAGGGTGAAAATCAGGGAAAAGGGAGATGTCTACGCCAAGAAGACAGTGCCTAAAAGTCCCACCTGATTTCAAACAAGCAAACATGCAATAAACAAGTCTATGAAAATGAAGATCCACCTTACCTTCTTCTGTAGAACTTTGCATGTTGCAAAAGCTCCAAATGGAATCTAAGATAAGAGAAAGAAGAGTCAGTGCCTCCCCTCCTGCCGGTTTTTGTTTTCTGAGTGGCACACATGTGAGGGAGAGATGGGGCAGGAGGTGATCAAGTGCAAAATCCTCATGTGCAGAGCAGCCGAGAGTGTGATGGGGGAGGCTGGTGAGGAATGCTGCTGGGATATGGTCAGCCCTCCCCTGCAATCAGCTGGCAGGAGACTGCCCTGCCCGGCCCCAGCCCGCACACCATCCCCAGCCCGCACACCATACCCATCAATAGCTCTACTGGGGCAAAAGAAAGATCTCTGGTGCTATACAGAAGCTGGAGAAACCCAGGTTCTTCCAGTTCCCTAGAAATCTGTGGGTACATTTTCTAGACTCCTTGATTCTCATAGACTGTGTTGAGGCCACCGATCATCTCAATTCTTTTGAATAAGAACAAAATCCAAGAACACTTCACTTGACTGATGCTTCTGGTGTTCTAAAAGCCCCAGTCCACATCTGTCTTTCTCAGGGACATGTGATCCAAGAAAAAAGGACAGATCAAATTCACAGCCAGAACACCAGCCCCGATTTACCTCTGAGAGCTCACATTTAGAGATGTCAAGAATGTCGTCAGCCCCAGCTTCTTTTGCCTGACAGTAAAAAGAATAATAAAAAACGCGTTCAAACAAAACACCTTGCAGAGCGGACAAACCAGCCAAAGAAACACAGGATCAAGTTGCTGTAAGAGACCAAAGACACCATCTGGTTCAACTAATCCATTTTTCAGGTGCACCAATGATCCCTGCTTCAGTGGGCCTTGAGGTCCAGCACGAAAGAGCAAATGAACAAGTAACGACAACTGTCATCAGTTCCCTCGGGAGGGAAGCGGAAGGCACTCCCAAGTACCAGACTGGAGGCCTCACTGGTCTGCTTTGAGTCAGAGATCTCCTCTGGGGGTCAGGGAGGCAGATGGGAGGGAGGGAGCACGTGGCTTGTCTGGGGGCAGCGTGGAGCCCCATTCCATGAGGGCAGAGGCAGAGATGGACTCACGAAACCCATTTTCCCTCACCAGACACATCTGATACTCCAGGCGTTTCCGAGCCTCTTCACTGGGTTTCCGCTTCCGGAAGAAGAGCGGCATTCTTTTTTCTCCCCCCTGGAGTAATCTTCAGGACTCTAGGGCACAGGAGAGAAATCAGGGCCTGGGGACCCAGGACAGGCAGCACACTAACGCAGAACGCATAGCTGATCTGCCGGACTCTATGACCCTTGATGGCTGTGTCTGCGTCCATCTCAACCATCCATCTGTGCCATGAGCCCAGCACAGCAGGTCTTTCTAAGGATGCTCTTTGAGAATGTGTAACAGACGGGACCGATGAATCACTTCTAGTTCCTGAAACACTGTCAGAGTGGCATCGGCAAACCAAACACTCCACCAGCTACATCATAAGCAAAGAGATCTCTTAATTGAATAAAAATTCCAAGGCAATCCTCAGACACCTTACCACCCTCACAGCTACTGTTCCATCTGATTCTCACCACAGCCCGGTTTGAAGTGATGAAACGGGCGCATGAGCTCAGTGATCTGGTTATATGGCCTGGACTGTAGCAAAACCAGTTTGGAGCTCTGTTCTTTCGAGTCCTGATACTGTGGGGTTTGCCCAACTCCTTCATGCTCGAATAACTTAGCACACACTAATTACAGTGTCCTGAACTCAGAAGCCAGGTGCTTACTGCCTGCCCAGTACCTGCAAGTATCAGCACTTGATAAGGGATAACAATGGGCCCAGGAAGCAATCATCCAGGAAAGCTTATGGTTAACAGCACAGGCTTTGGGATGCAATGTAACTGGGTTTATGGCAGTTCCTCAAAAAATTAAAAATAGAAATACCCTACGACCCAGCAATTGCACTACGAGGTATTTACCCCAAAGACACAAAGGTAGTGATCAGAAGGGGCACCTGCACCCCAATGTTTATAGCATTATCAATAATAGCCAAACTATGGAAAAAGCCCAAATGTCCATTGATTGATGAATGAATAAAAAAAATGTTGTGTGTATGTATATACACAATGGAATCTCACTCAGCCATCAAAAATGAAATCTTGCCATTTGCAATGATACAGCTAGAGTGTTATTATGCTAAATGAAATAAGTCACTCAGAAAAAGACTAATACTATATGATTTCACTCATATGTGGAAATTAAGAAAAAAAAAAACAGATAAACATATGGGAAGGCAAAAAAAAGAAAGAGGCAGGCAAACCATAAGAGGCTCTTAACAATAAAAAACAAACTGAGGATTGATGGAGGGAGGTGGGTGGCGGATGGGTTGAATGGGTGATGGATATTAAGAACAGCCCTTGTTATGATGAGCACTGGGTGTTATATGTAATTAATGAATCGCTAAATTCTATTCCTGAAACCAGTATTACATTAGATGTTAACTAACTAGAATTGAAATAAAAAATTGAAATAAAAAAAATGTAACTGGGTTTGAATCCCAGATCTGCCATCCACCAACCATATCACCTTCGTTCAATCTCTCTGAGCCTCAGTTTCCTCATCTGTATGACAATCTTACCAATACCTGGTTCTGGGAGGATCCAGTGATTTCATATATGTAAAACTCATAGCACATTACCTGGCACATAATCACTGCTCAATCAATGTCAGCCACATAGCACTATACACCTGACGAATATTTATTCCGGGCCCACTACAGCTAGGGGGAAGATGCAGTTGAAAAGATACACACCCACTCCTCAAGGGGAGGGGTAGAGATCACAGGTCTCCTCCCATAGCGGCCTGGGCAGTCTGGGGAGACTGCCAACCTGCAGAGCTGGCTCAGGCTCCTCTTGTCACCCCACTTGCCAGCAGGGGTGGGGAATAGTCTAAAAACAGCCCTCCCCCATCCCTCCCAGATGACAAGCTCTTCTGCTCCCCAAGGACTAACCCTCTCTCATCCCGTCCCCAAAGTCCAGCCCTCCCACCACCTCCCCCACAGTGATCATCCCTTCTCCATCCCTCCCATAAGATCAGCTCTTCCCAACCTGCTCCCCGATGTCCACCCCTCATCCATTCCTTCCCCCAACGTCTAGCCCATTGGAAGAACCACACCCATTCTCCCCAGGCTGGAGTGGGGAGAGCCCCACCTGGCTTTGTGGGTGGACAGGTCACCGATGCTCCTTCCCACGGGTGGACCTGACGGCAGGCAGATCACTCGTAGGGCTTGGTCATGGACACAGGGTCGCAGACCACCGGGCACGAGCCCGGGCGGAGCCGGAGTCTGGTCTCCTCCAAACGCAGAAGCTGGGGACCGAAACTCAGAATCTCAGAAAGTCATGCAGACCAGGATGACGAAGTCTAAGACTCTGAGAACCACAGAATCTTGGAATTAAGAGGTGGACCAAATTTAGACCTGAATAAAATTGTTTCGATAACCAAAATGCACATATCACGAAGGAGCTAAAAGGGGACCGGGGGTCGCCATGGCCCTACGGTCTCGGATGGGGGTGCGGACCCCTTAGGGGAGGGGCGGGGCTTTGCGACCGGGACCAAAGGGTGACCCTCACGATAAGGAAGAATAGAGAAGAGCGGGGCCCTGGGGCAGCCCTCTCTTGTCTGCCGCCCACCCCCCAGGCGAACCTCCCCGAACCCCCCACTTCTGAACCCCTAGTTACAACTCACCGCGGAGCCGGCGTCAACCTCAGGCACCTGCCCACAAGTAACATGGCGGCAAGGGCGTCGCTGGGCGGCTGGGCGGAGCCGACGGTTCTCGCGAGAATCGCGCTTTCCTGCCTATATCCGGCGCAGTCAGAAGACCTTCCGGTCTTTTGGCTTTCGGCTCGGGGCGGCAAAGGTGCAACTTTCTTCGGTCGTCCCGAATCCGGGTTCATCCGACACCAGCCACCTCCGCCATGCCGCCTAAGTTCGACCCCAACGAGATCAAAGTCGGTGCGTGCTTTAGATGTGGCTGGGGCTGCGAGATGGAGCGGAGCATCCCTCCTCCCCGCAGCCCGTCGGGCCTCCGGCCCAGCCGCCGTTGCCTTTCCCACGCCGGGCTTTTTTAAGTTGCTGCCTGCTAGAGGCCTTCGCAGTGCAGCGGTCGGGGCGCTGTGAGGTCCTGGCCGAGCCTCTGACTCATTCTGGGCCTCAGCTTCCCCACGTGTAAATGGGGAGGGAGGCCCGGACGACCTGTGGTGGCTTTGCAGCCCGCACGCCTTAGGGTAAGGTTTGTGCCCGGGCGCGTCCCCCCTGCACTGGGTTGGCCGCTGGCCGGGCTGTCTCCACGCCGGCCCGGTGCAGGCCTCGGTAGCCGTAGCTGAGCCGACGGCCGCTGTCCCACGTGGCCCTTGGAGCGGTCCACGTCACGGGGGAGGCGGCTCGCCCGCTGCGGTTGGGGGGCTTTCTTCGCTCCCAGCTGAGGCTCTTGGTGCTGTTCCGAGAACTGACGAGCGGAGTGGTCAGCCCCAGCAAGATTGGAGAGAGGGCTGTGGCTCCGGGCTCCCTCTGCAGGGACACTGATCTTTTCTTTCTCCCAGTGTACCTGAGGTGCACCGGTGGCGAAGTCGGCGCCACGTCTGCCCTGGCCCCGAAGATCGGCCCGCTGGGTCTGGTAAGTCATCCTCGTGGAGGGCGGTTTCTTAGCTTGCATTGGTTTGTGCAAACGAGACTGGATCTGAGGTGCCTTCCACGTTGACGGATTGGCAACCCCTGCTGCACCTCGAGCCTCTGAACCGGAAGTGCTCCCATAACAAGGTCTTACACGAGATTGGAACGTGCTACTTTGAAGCTGTGACTTTCACTCTCCGGGGTCAAGATCTAACTGCGGCCTTAAGCGTACATGAGGCGTGGGCTGGAGGTCTTGTGTGAAGGTTTAGAAGAGTAGCTTAGTGACTCTGGGCAGCCTGCTTAGCCTGTTGTTTAGTCAGGGCAATGGGCGTATCACTCATGGGGTTAAATATCGGTAGAGAGGATTAAATGGGAGGTGGGTTAAGATCCTGGTGAACTTAACATAGAAGCTTGCATAACCTACTCATTAATATGACCAGCTTCACCGATGACCCCCTCCCTATCTACTCACTCCTCCATTTTGTGCTTTTACTGAGCTTGCGTTTCTCTGAATAGTATTAGGCCCTTATTCCTTGGACATTGGTCTCCTGAACCAAACATTGTTCCCACGTGGGCTTGCTTAACCAGTGTGTTACGCTTTTCCTTGGCTCTCCATTTAGTTGGCACCCGCTGAACGTCTTTCCTGTTCAGGCTAGTGGTCGTTAGGAAGTCTTAAGTAGTAAATGCCCAGATCCCATCCTTGCAGAAACCTGGTGTCTTTAGAATTCTCCCAAGTGATTTGAATGTAACCAGTGTTGGAAATTCCTACGTTATCACATGGGTCCTTATGGGAGGGTAGGTAGGTGAGGGACTTTGCCATCTTACGACCCTGGGCCTGCATCCCCAAACAAACTTCACCTCTAGCCCCATCTCCCTGATGTCTGCTACCGTGATAGCCGTGCCTTGATTTGGCAGGTGCAGTTACGTGCTTCAAACAGTGCTCTGTGTGCTGGCCCAGGGTGTCAGCCAAGTGAGAGGGATGGGTTTGCAGACTGTACATCAACTTAGAGCACAGTGTGATGACACACCTTTCGTTCTCTAGTCTCCAAAAAAGGTTGGTGATGACATCGCCAAGGCAACCGGTGACTGGAAGGGCCTAAGGATTACGGTGAAACTGACCATTCAGAACAGACAGGCCCAGGTACTTGGTTTGAGGGGGAGGGCAGAGGTCGCAACCCTCTGGGATTCCTGGGGGGAAGGTTTTTGCCACCTGCAACCGGTCGTGAGCTGCTGAGGGCAATTTTAAGTGTGGGGAAGGCTTTTTTGAGAGGATGGGTCAAGAAAGAGCAAAGATGTGGGCCTAATACTAACTCTTGTCACCTGTGTGACATTGGGCAAATCACTGTGTCTCTTAGGCTGGAACATGTTTCGATTGTGACAATAACTCGAGAATGTACAGCAAACCCAGTCTGGCCCGTGTTTTTTGAGAGCCAGGTCGCAGTATTGGTGGTCTTCCTTAGAGGGTGGAATGGGGCTTATTCACACGGAGAATCTCTTCTGCAGATTGAAGTGGTACCTTCTGCCTCTGCCCTGATTATCAAAGCCCTCAAGGAACCACCAAGAGACAGAAAGAAGCAGAAAAACAGTGAGTGGCCTTTTCCCTGGTAATTTGTGAGTGGTGTCATCTACCCAGTGTGATAATTTAGCAGCATGTTTTCCCTTTGATGAAACCTAGGGGGAGGAGTAGAGGGATTTGATAAGCTGTTAGCCAGGCACCCCCAGGAAGTGTCATGTGGCTCCCCAGTCCCTAACGTGAGGCTGGCCCTACTCAGTGCTTGCAGGAGGGAAACAGTAGGGTGAAGTGATAATGATAACCAGTTATCAGGCCACTTCTGAGCTGGATGATGCTCTGAACAGCTTAACCCCAGTAACCAAAACTTGTCTTTTTTCATATTTAAAATAGTCTCATTTGTATAAGATTAGCAAAGACTTGATTTTGCCCCAGCCACCCGCCACTGCACCCGGTCAGTTTCTGTTGGCTGGTGCAATCCAGTGGTGAGCTGATAGTAAACCCCAGCTTAGGAAACAGGGTTGTTCTGCATGTGGATGACTCTGTGCCGAAAGCATGGGAACAGCCTGGAAATAAGGACAGGGGAGTGCATGATGTGGTCTGCTTTGGCCTTAGGTGACCAAGCTTAAACGCTGTTTTTCTTTTCTGCAGTTAAGCACAGTGGAAATATCACTTTTGATGAGATTGTCAATATTGCCCGACAGATGCGACACCGATCTTTAGCCAGAGAACTCTCTGGTAAGTGGACAACATAGAACCACCTTGTTATATGGGGTGTATTCAGTGTGTGGTAGCATTTCCCAATTTGAAGGGAAGTTACTGTAAGATCTTCAATTTGGGTGGCAGAATGGCTTGGTATCAGTGAATATTAGGGGCTGGATGTGTTTGCGTATGAAGGGACCTGTGGAGACTTTGCATTAAGAGCTTACGTAACTAAATGGAGTTCGGAATCTTGGATTAGAGGAGTGGGAATGTCATTCCATAAAATAGGATTAATTCCTCCTTGCCTTCTGTGAAACTCCCAATTATTTCCCCATGGGTATCTGAGGATCGTGAGGGACTGAAGCTCCTCTGATGCTACTTTTCTGAATTCTAGGAACCATTAAAGAAATCCTGGGGACTGCCCAGTCTGTGGGCTGCAATGTTGATGGCCGCCACCCTCATGACATCATAGATGACATCAACAGTGGTGCGGTGGAATGCCCAGCTGTAAGTGACTTCTGTTTCACTTGCCTAAAGCAGGGTGAGAGCTGGAGGAAGGCTAACGTATTCATGGAGATAGGCTGGAACAGTTCTAGAAATGGTCAGTAGTGGGTTTGGACTATAAGATTTTTTTTTGTCTTACTGACATATTTCTTTTTTCTTTCCCACAGAGTTAACTACAAAGGAAAATGTTTCAATAAAGGATCATTTGACAACCAGTGGACCTTTTGATGTGGCCTCTTCCTTGGGGGAGCTAGCTCCTTTGTGGTCAGATGGTGGGCCAGGGTGGCAGAACCTGTGAAGTAGTAGCTATTTGGGTAACAAGTTCCTTCTGGGTGACAGATTGATGCCCTGTATGGGACTAGCTCAGAGAAGACACCTCAAGTTCTTGGCCTTTTGTAGGCCGCATATGCATAGAACTCTTCATAAGAATAAAATTCTTTGTCAAAAAGAAAACTTGTACCTCAGCATGAATACGTGGCAAGGAATCTCCATCCCAGACCAGTTTCAATCTTGAGTTGGGCTAGGGGCCCGTAGCCCTTAATGCAAGCAAGCCCTATCAGTTCCAGTGTACAGCTAGGCTTAAGAGGCACTGATGCGAACCTGACCTTTGTCTGGAGTCCTTGAGGGCCATTTTCTAATGGCATCTTTTGGTCTTTCCGAGTCTTGCTCTTTTTCATGACTCGAGCTCATGACTCCTTTCTTTTAAGTGTGTGGTAAATGGAAGGATGAACCAAAATACCTGGGTACTGGGGTGAGCTACACCTGAGTAGCTTAGAGGGGCTTCTGGGTACCAGCCTAAAGGGAGGGGCTTAGGAGTAACTTACCCAAGAGCTTAATGTCCTTGGCATTAGTTGTATTCTTGCCTTAAATTTATCAATAGGCCTTTAAAGTAGGTGGGTTTTAATTTCCTCCCCTCCCCCATAAGCAGGGTTGGAGAACTGTAGTGGGAAGGATTACCTGAAAATTCAGGTGAATGAGGGAGGGATAAGCCTTCCAGGACCTGGGCCAAGTGGGCAAGAAACCAGAGCTAGAGGCCTTGGGTGATAGCAGAATAGGACTCAAGTCAAATGGCTACCTAAACCCAAACCACATGGGTTTATTTCGGAGATGAGGTCCTGCTGGCTGGGTATGAGGATGGCATGTCAAAAGACAAAGACCCAGAACCCAGCAAGGGAGAAAGGGGCCAATAATGAAAATCTTGCTGTAAAGGAAACTTCTCCAGGAAGGAAAATGAAGGCCCCACTGGCCCATGAGCTGGGGAAAGATGGCAGGCCTCAGGTTGTCCTAGTGGCTCCACACAGGGGTATACCATACATTTCACTGGCTTCTAGATTAACCCTCAGCCTGTTCTTACCTTCTGGGTGTTTTCTTTATAGCAGCAGCAAACACTTGAACATCTCAAGTACAGACTGGGCCTGGCAGTGTCTAGATTTTCCTATATAGAGCTTAAAAGAGTGGATATCTCTCCCCCACCCCGATGAGATTATAACATGAAGAACCTTTCCTCAACTTGAATTACTCCCTATTATGGAGAAACCGTTCATTCCTGTCCAGTGTTGGTTCTTTTAATAGCCCTCATTCAAGAACCATCCCCAAAATACCTGGCCTTTAAGAAAGAACCAAGTCCTTCACTCATTAATCACTTACTCCTTATGGTTTCTGCAGTGCTTGCTATACCAAATGCAGTTGGGCTCACTGAATGAAGGTAATCTCCAGTATAATTTGAGTTGGGTTCTTGGTGCTTGAAGAGTTGAGAAAGAAGAGTGCTCCTGAGACTTTCCACCTGCAACATGTAAAATCGGGGCTATTTATTAAAGGTGCTTTTGGTGTGGCTCTGAGCTACAGACCATAAGACTCCGAGGTCTCCCGATGTTTTTCAGACTACCTGCATTTCCTGCCGGGTCCCCGCCCACTTCGGTCCTATCTCTGGTTACTCTCCAGCATGGAGTCTCTGGTGTCTGATGAAAGCGGAGCTACACCGGAAGGCCTTCCCACACTCCCTACATTCATAGGGCTTCACACCAGTGTGAATCCTCTGATGCTGACTAAGGGATGAGCTCTGGTTAAATGCCTTCCCACACGCATTGCACTCATAGGGTTTTTCTCCTGTGTGAATTACATGATGTCGAATAAGGGCTGAGCTCTCACTGAAAAATTTCCCACATTCATTACATTTATAGGGCTTCTCCCCAGTGTGGGTCTTCTGGTGGATTATGAGATTTGTGCTTTGGCTGAAGGCCTTTCCACATTCGCTGCACTTGTAGGGTTTCTCTCCCGTGTGAGTCCTCTGATGGTTTGTGAGGTTTGCGCTCTGGCTGAAGGCCTTCCCACATGCAGCACACTTGTAGGGTTTCTCCCCGGTGTGGATTCTCTGATGCTGAATAAAGGCGGCACAGTAACTGAAGGCCTTCCCACACTCACTGCACTTGTACGGCTTCTCCCCCGTGTGGGTCCTCTGGTGGTTTGTGAGATTCGCACTGTGACGGAAGGCCTTCCCGCAGTCGCTGCATTCATAGGGCTTCTCCCCGGTGTGAATCCTCTGATGCTGAACAAGGGCTGAACAGTCACTGAAGGCTTTCTCACACTCGCTACATTTGTAGGGCTTTTCTCCGGTATGAGTTCGCTGGTGCTTTGTGAGGTTTGCGTTCTGGCTGAAGGCTCTTCCACATTCGCTGCATTTGTAGGGTTTCTCTCCGGTGTGAATCCTCTGGTGCTGAATGAGAGACGAGCTCTGGCTGAAAGCCTTCGCACACTCGCTGCACTCGTAGGGTTTTTCCCCGGTGTGAGTCTTCTGGTGCTGAGAAAGGGAAGAACAGTAACTGAAGCCTTTGCCACACTCGCCACATGTATATGGTCTTGCTCTGTGGGGCTTCATAATAGGGGAATCCTTCCTGAAGCTCTGTGTGTGTGTTTCCCATTTACGGGGTCTCACTTCTGTAGGAACTCTCTGTTGTGGAGAAAGGACTGGTCTCAGGTTGAAGCTCTTCCCCAGTTCAGTGTCCCCGTGAGCAGACTCCCCAGGGGGCAGCTCTATACTTGTGTCTTGGAATGAATCTTCAGAAATGTCATGCTCGGGTGGCGATTCAGACATAATCTTCCAGTCTGAAAAACATTTAGAAAAGCATTTCTCCCCCCTTCGGTGGAAGAAAAGGTACTACTGAAATACAAAAGGCTGATGGGAGTTTGGCCGAGCTCCCATGCAGGCAGGTCTGATGCTCCACCCCTTTCACCCAGAACAGCTGCCTCACATTTCTGTTCTCAACCATAAATACTGACCAAGATGGCTCTTCAGAGACATTAGCACGCCTTACTCCCTTTCCTAAACTGCCAAAGGATACAGAAGTTTACCCTAATCTCCCTCAGATGCGATGCTCCTGTATTTCTGACCCTTTCCTCTGCTTTGGCAACTACTGGACAGTCTCCACTTGTCTTTAGTCTCACAATTCTTGGTGTGGTTTTGGGCAATCTGTTTACCAGGTTTAAATAATTCACTTTACAAAGCTGATGATCAGTGCCAGCAAGATGAATTCTTTGACCTATCAAATCAGCTAGATTTCAAAATTCTAGAATGTTGCTAGGGGTGCAGCATCATGCGATCTTACACACTGGTGTGACCACCTTTCTGGAGAGCAATCTGGTTGCATGTGTCAAAAGAGTCTTTAAAATGCTGACATGAGAACCGCACCTGTAAGAATCTGTCCTAAGAAACGAATGAGAAATTACACAAAGCTGTGTTGACAAAAGCGCTTACGGCATTATTTGCCAAAGAAAAGCAAACACCTAAATAAATGTTTAATAAAGGAATGACCATAGTATAGCCAACAGAGGGACCCCTATAGAGGCCATGTTTGAAATGGGTACACTATTGTTCCTTCTGTAGAAAGGTATTTACTGAGGAAACACTGCAAGGATACACAGTGTGAGTGTAAGCAGTGTTGTCTTTGGGTTGTGGCATCAGGCAATTTTTATTTTCTTCAATGCTTATCTGTATTTTTTAATGTTCTCCAATGTCAGTATTATAAAAAAGATAAAAACATTTCAGAGGATATGCAGTGATAAAAAGAAACCTACTGTTACTTGAAAAAAGGAGCATGGAAACTTAACACTGTTATTTCTACTTTAGAAAAAAGTACAAGCTCTGGTCTGAGCCTCCCCATTAGGGGGCACCTGGCTGGCTCAGTCGCTAGAGATTGTGACTCTTGATCTTGGGGTCATGAGTTTGAGCCTCACATGGGGGTTGGTAGAGATTATTTAAAAGAAAAAAAAAATTTAGAAAACAAAAATGTATCACTGCATTTGTGATGAAGAAGATGGAAGGGACCTCTGTGTGGTGGGATGACAGGGGACCTTGATTTTTTTTATCCTGTTCCAAATCTCAAATTAACCTATTTTACTAGAAAAAAGTCATTTTAAATAGAATAAATAACATTGCTTTTATAATCAGAAAATCGGTCTTTTTTAAAAGAAGAGTTAACGATTCTTAACCCTTTCTGGGATCTCCCTCATTTTAAGAGAAAACTTTATAATGTGAGTACTGTACATTACTGGGAAACTGTGAAGCCCAAGGCCCCATGCCCCTCTCCGACACTGGGGCTTGAACATAAGGAGGTGGAGTTTTAGGGAGGGCTACGGAGCTTCTTTTCACGAGCGTCAATTTTCCTGAAGATTCTTTCGGTTTCTACTTATTTCTCAGAGGAGAGAATAGCAAGGTTAGTTCTGGGTGACCTTTATTTGTATTTCTATATGGAATCTTGACCCAGATAGCTTGGGCTTAAATCTTGGCTCCACCTCTTACTAGCTATGTGATTGTGGGCAAATTAATCTATTTCTTGGATGCATTATCTATAAATGTAGCTCTCAAAGAATTACTGTGAGGATTAAATGAGTTAAAACATATAAGGGACCCTGAGGGACAGTTAAATGTCATATGAGTGCTTGTTATTATCTTAGGCTTTTTCCTTGTAAACCTTCTGAAATGGTTTCCCTCCCGAGAGCACATGCCTACTAATGCCCAATCTACCATGAGCACAGCAGTCCCAGGGCATCATCTCCATGTAATTCAGTAGTTGATCATATGTGGCTTTGACAGCTCTGAAAACTTGACCATCTATCAGAAAACATGGAAAGAAGAAGAAAAGTGCCAAGAAAAGCAGCAGTAGGGGAAAGGAACAATTCAGGAAACTGCATGATGCTCATGAATCGTCCTATCTCCGCCCACCTTACCTCTCCACCTGGCTCCTGTAGGAGACTAAGGACGTCCACACCAAATGTGCCCAAAACGGAACAACTGGTTTTCCCTTTCCAGCCAGTGTCTTCGTCTGTCTTCTTGTTCATGGTTCTGCTCAGGCCAGGGTCGTCCTTAATGCCCCTTCCACCCCCTCACATCCATTCACTGGCGAGTCCTATTGGCTTTAACACCTAAAATGTCCTGAATCCTTCCTACCAGCCACCATCCTCTCTCTCTGGAATGTCTGCAACAGACTCCTAACTGATCTCCCTGCTCCTATTCCTGAACCCTGGAAGTCTTATTCTCCATATGCAATTTTTAAACACAAATCAAGTATGGTCCCCTTCCCGCTCAAAACCCTCCACGGCTTATCTTACTATGTGAATAAAATCTGAATGCCTTACCGTGGTCTCCAAAGCCCTGAACGATCTGTTCCCTGCCTATTACTCTCCCCCGGCTTACTGAGTCCTAGGGTCTTCTGATCCTAATACAAGTCAAGCTCATCCCCACCTCAGAGCTTCAACACATGCCACATCCCAGAATGTTCCTCTCCCAGACACTCACATGGCTGGCTTCTTCTCTTCCTTCAGACCTCAGCCCTGCATCACTTCCTCCAAGTGGTCTTTCCTAGTCATCTGACTTACAACAGCCCCCAACCTCCATCTGTATTCCCATTCTCACCTTCATACTCCCCATCACTATTCCCTTATCCTGCGTTCCTTCAGAGTATGCCTCACTATCTGACATTACATCAGTAATTTTGTTTACTCATTTTATTTATGTTCCTCACATCACAGGATATAAGCAGGGCCTATATCTTGTTCTCTGTTGTACCTTCAGTAGCTAAAGCAATTCCAGGCATTTACCAAATGCTTAATGAGTATTTGTTGACTGAATGAGTAACAAATTCAATGTGAAAAAGGCAAACTGACCAGCTGGGCCTGGGAAAATGTTAACATCCACAACAGAAGTTCCTAAAGCAAGCAGTGAGGTGAAGGTACTCTAAAGACCTGGGGCTGCCATGGTGGTGAGGTAGGATGGGGTACCGGAGGGCTCTGAAAGCAGCCCAGAGCGGCCGAGCAATGCCCAGGTTGCTGTGAATCTCAGAGCAGAGGTGCAACACCACGGAAGCAGGGTATCAGTTACTCCAATAGCCAGACTGAAACTTTTCTCAAACTACTTCACGATCATACAGCTAATACAGCACTCCATAGTTGGTAACTTTTTTTCATGTATATTAGTTTGTAAAATCAGATGGTGATAACACCACTTCCCAAGTTGTTTCTAATAACGTGCTGATCTGACCTTTTTAGGATCCTGAAACTCTCTGAGGCTGTGATGAAACCTTTTTCCAGAAAAATTCAGCCATTGCCCTAGCCACATAACCCCACACTCAGTTTCTGAAATTCTACACAGGGCGTACCGCCCGGGATAAAAGGCCCCGCACGGCAGGCATGGTGCCGGGCAGCAGAGGGACCACCGAGGCTCCTGTAAAGGAAGGATTTCAGCAAGCCTGAGTGGTTCCTGGGTAACAACAGGGCTGAGGTAACGTGTGACAGGCTGTTTAGAAAGTAGATAGTGAGATGGGAAGGAGAAGAGTTCTGATGACTGTGCAGAAAACCTGCCAGACTTTGTTCTCACTGCCCTGCAGCCACAGTAATCAGAAAGGAAGATATAAAGCATTAGGCTACACTTTCAAACAAATTGTAAGCTTTGTCACCTTCAAGTTCATTTATACTTCTGATGCTTTAACTTTTAAAATATCGGAAGTGGCTGGAACCCCAGGGAGAAGCTCCTGAGGCCCGGGCAGAGGTCACACATCCACAGTGGCTGAAGCATGAAGGTGGGGTTGAGTGAGCAGCCTTGGATGAGGAGCACGAGATAAACACAGCAACTACGGCTTCCCTTTTGTTTTTCCTGAGGTCCTCAGTATTAGCCCTTTAGGAAATTCTAGCAGGGTCACATAGAGGGAGAGAAGGCATCCAATTAAGGGCCAGAGAGGGGAGTAGCAGTAGGTATCACAGCTGGAGGTATGGGTAAAGGTGGGCACCTGAGAGCCTAAGTGAGGTGAACCCCAAGCAGAGAACGTGCTAGGCCAGCAAAGATGACTCTTCATTCCCCCCGAGGCCAGCAATACCACCTCTGGTCCCAAATATCTCCCAGCCCAGGGGAACTCTGCCAGGAAGAGGTGTGGAACAGTGGGCTTTGGAATCAGACAGACCTTGCTTCGAAGGCCTGCCATGCCACTTTCTAGCCGTGAGGCTCTGAACCAGCAAGTACTCTTCCAGCTTTAATTTCCTCATCTGTAAAATGGGGATTATATCTACTTCACAGGGTTATCAAATGCACTAATGTGTATTTCAAAAGGGCTTTTGCTCTCAAGACTCACTGGCTTCAGTGCCTGCTCACTTACCAGGACAGGTACTCCTTAGGCCTCCTCCCTCCAGCATCCATGGGCCTTCTTCCCTTTGTTCCAACTGGGAGTTCATGCCGGGCTGGGAAACTGGAAGTCCTGTTCAAGGGGAAAAACGGGCTTTAGAGATTTAGATTAAGTATAAATAGCCACCCAGAACTCAGGGAAGTGGAAACACACCAGTTAGGTCATTTTTTTCATTCATTCAACAAATATTTATTGAGCACGTAACTGGGTCCCAGGCACTGGGGGATGCAGCAGTAATTAAGACAGATGAGGTGCCAAGGAGGGGTCAAGTCAAGTCAGGGAATTAAGCCCCAAGAGCAAGTTATTTAGAACAATAGGAACTTACTGAATATGGAGGAACTGGCCTGAAGGTCACCCTACCCGCCCTGGGAAATAAGAAAACAAGGAGCTGCAGTCTCAGGGGGAGCAAATGAAACTGCCTATTTCTCAAGCTGGAATGCAGAGACCTTTCACTAGGGAACCAGGAGGAATAAACACTGTATAAAGTGTCAGAGCAACTCGGGATCACTCAACACCGGAAAGTGCCACAGATATTCAGAACTGAGTAGATTCTACATTTCAAATGGCTTCCTTACCCAGCAGGACCAGATTCCTGGCATTTTCTGGTATCCCCTCCTTGAACCTTGGAGTCCCCCTTGGAGCAGGGATCAAGTGCCTCCACCCATCCTGGGTAAAAGCTACAGTCACATTGCTGAAGGGCGTGGACCCCTGAAATGACAAGCACATTCCTTCTTGCCCACTGGCCTCAGGATATGAGGCAGCTCTGGGCAGCTCAAGAAAAGCATTTATTGATCACTTTCTATGTGCCTAACACTATACTGGATACTGACACACAAAAATAAATCAAATACTGACACAAAAATAAATCAAATACAGTCTCTTTGCGTGTTTACAACTCTGACGGACTTTAAATATAAATGGAGAGAGTACATAAACAGCTATATCTATATATAAAAGAAGGAAATGGGCAGAAACGAACAGGTGCTCAGGAACTAAAAGAGCCAATGTAGACAAAACAAAATTAGAATGTATAAATTTATGCAATGAAAAATCAGAAAGAAATGTGAAGGCTCAATTTTTCGGAGTGTTTATTAAACGTTCCTATGAACTTGGATATCACACAGTACAAAAGGAGAGCCAGATATGTATGTGACTGCCTGTAGTAACATGTCAGAGAGACTAGAGAAGGAATCCTGCATGGAGGACAGAGGAAGACCACAGAGAGGAGGTGATTGCTGAGCTGGCCTTGAAGGAGAAAGGCTGTCAGTGGAGAAAGAGAAGGTTATCCAAGGCAGGGGAGGCTCATGAGCAAAGGCATAGAGGTGAGAAAGGCCTCATGTCTGTTTTCAGTGCAAGTGATGGTACCTCTACCTATCTCGTGGGCCACGCCAGAAACCTGGGTGTTATCTTCCCTTTCCTGCAGCTCCCCACAATCACGGCATCTTCACCTTCCTTCACAGTATCACCAGATTTCACACATTTCTCTCCATGGCCCCGTCATTACCTTATTTGAGGCCAGCATAATTTTCCAAATTATGACCTCTAATTTACCTGGTCTTCCGATCCATCCTTCATACTAAGAAATGCAGTACAATGGGACAAAGAGGGTCTTTTTTTAAAAAACCATGAAATATTTAAAACATTTGGGTCATTTTATAATAGTCAAGAGAGTAAAATCCACCATAAAGATTTAAGTGTCATGAACTTTGTAACAAACAGTATGTAACTAATAAAGAAAACACTGTAGGAAGTACAAGAAGAAATTTAAAATATTACAGCTGTGAGATGTTAAAATAATTCAGTCATTAGCAGGGTTAATACAAAATAAACAACAAAATAAAGGTATGGAAGAACTGAGCAATTTAATGAATAAGGTTGAGCTAACAGAGCCATTGAACCCTGTGTTCTGCAATTACGCTACCCCTGGCTGTTCTGGGTTGACAAAAGACACTCTGTCCCCATGCAGCACAGACCAGCTGAATGGGCAGAGAAACCAAAGTGACAATTTGGGAATATCTAGGAAAATAAGATCCACAGCCAAACATTTTCAACATAAACAAGGAAGGAAGAATATAAATTAGAAATTCAACTCAAGGGGTTAAAAGATCAAATTCTAAAATAAATCTGACAAAAGTGAAAGCAAAAAAGTAAGAAAAAAAATCTGTTACTAAGAAAACCAATGAGAAAAATCCAAGAGCAGACTTTCTAAAAAGGAAAAGAAACAGATCAATACCTAGTCTAGTCAGGAAAAAAGGGTAGAAGACAGTTCCTATCCTGGTAGAAGGACTATGCAAAAGAATACACTAGAAATGATTCTGTAGCATACTCTTAATGAGAAGGAGAAACATTAATCACATTCTGTAAAGTGGAAATAAAAAGAAGATTAAAAGCAGGACAAACCCATTTTGGGAAAGTAGAAAAGGAAGACTATGGGGGCACCTGGCTGGCTCAGCCAGTGAAGCGTGTGATTCTTGATCTCAGGGTTGTGAGTTCCAGCCCCACACTGGGTGTAGAGATGACTTAAAAATAAAATCTTAAAAAGCAAAAACAAAAAAGAAAAAGAAAAGAAAAGGAAGACTAGGGCTGAAAAGACACAAATGAAAATGTTAAGTATTTCATCTCTGTGGTTAATAAGTGTGAGTTTTTGGGTATGTTTTCTGTGTTTTTCAGGTTTTCTACAATAAGCACGAACTCCTCTCATAATTAAAAAACAGGAACAAAAAAACCCTTTAATATTAAAAAAAAAAAAAAAAAGAGGCTACCTCTCAGAGTACATTTCCAACTTACGTGGGCCCCAACTGGGAGGAGACCAGCTGCCATTCCTTCATCTCCTGTGCTTTTGTCTTGGGGAAGGGCAGTGCCTGCAGAAGGCAGCTCTGGAAGGAGAGAAACCAATGAGGCTTAAAAGGTACAGCTCACCAAGCTAGAGAGTCTCGCATTCTCACTGTGAAGAAGGGGGTTCCCGGGACATTGCAGGTTGCAGGGGACTCGGGCTGAATCTGCAGACCGATTTCTCCATTCCCCTTCCTACCTCAGAAATCCCATCAGTTCACTCAGACACAGGGAGTCAAACAGACTCTCAAGTAGCGTAGGTCCCCCACTTGCAAGCAGTGTGCAAATCACATAACCTTTCTAGGTCGCATTTTTCTCATCTGTAAATTGGAGTGACAATCTCTTGTAAAGTTGCTGGGAAGATGAAAGAAAAACGCAAAGTAGCTGGCACAACGCCTCGCATGTAAGCACACAGCTTACAAACATTATCTACTGCCGAGTTTGTTGGGAGCAAGTAGCTCTGCAGATTTAAGATATTTGCCAACTCAAGAAAGGTAATGACCAAGTAGGATTCATCGAAGGAACGCAAGATTAGTTCATCATATGAAAATTAATCTGCATAATATACCAATGTAATAAAAAGGAGATGACTCCACATGGATCATTTCAATAAACACCAAAAAGGCCATTCTGTAAAATCTGTCACCCTTTCCTGATACATTCAATAAACTAGGACGAGAAGAGAACATCCTCAACCTGATAAAAGACAACTACGGAAAACCCAGGTTTACATCCTACTTAATAGTGGAGGACTGATACTTTCCCCGAAGATCAGGAACAAGACAAGGCTATCTGCTCTCACTTCTGTTCAGTATTATACTGGAGGTTCTAGCCAGGGAAATTAGGAAGCTGGGGGCGGCGGGGTGGGGGAGGGGGTGGGGGGTGGGAAGTCATCCAGATTGGAAAGGAAGAAGTACAATTATCAGTATTTGTAGCTATGATTTTGTATATGGAAAATCCTAAGGTGGGGCACCTGGCTGGCTCAGTTGGTAGAGCATGTGACTCTTGATCTCAGGGTCATGAGTTCAAGCCTCACATTGGGTGTGGAGTCTACTTAAAAAATACAATAAAATAAAATAGCCCTGCTATAAAAAAAAACAAATAAATAAAAAGAAGAAGAGAAGAAAATCCTAAGGAATCCACAAAAAAAAAGCCCTGTCACAGCTAAGTAAGTCCAGCAAAGTTGCAAGATACAAGATGGATATATAATAAAAAGACAACCCAATTAAAATTGGGCAAAGGATTTGAACAGACATTTCTCCAACCATATTTCTATACACTAGCAATGAGCAATCCAAAAGTGAAATTTAAAAAAAAAATTCCATTTGCAAGAGCATTAGAAGAATAAAACACTTACGAATAAATTTAACAAAGGAAATGCAAGACATGTACACTGAAGGCTACCAAACATTGTTGAAATTACAGAAGATATAAATAAATGGAAAGACATCCCATGGATTCATAGACTGGAAGATAATGTTGGGATGGCAGTGCTCACCAAATTATCTACAGAATCAATGTAATCCCTAACAAAATCCCAGTGGACTTTTTAATGAAAATTGATTAAGCTGATACTAAAATTCATCTAGAAATGCAAGCGACCCAGAAGAGCCAAACAAACTGGAAAAAGAAGTTGGAGAACTCACATTCACACTATCAAAACCTTGTACATGGGGTGCCTGGGTGGCTCAGTTGGTTAAGTGTCTGCCTTTGGCTCAGGTCGTGATCCCAGGGTCCTGGGACTGAGCCCCGCATCAGGCTCCCTGCTCAGCGGGGAGCCTGCTTCTCCCTCTGCCCCTCCCCCTGCTTTTGCGCTCTCTCTCTCTCTCGCAAATAAATAAATTCTTAAAAAAAAAAGGAAAACAACAAATGTTGATGAGGATGTGGAAAAATTAGAACCCTCCTACATTGCTACTGGGATTGTGAAATGATGCGGTCACTGAGGAAAACAGTGTGACAGATCCTCAGAAAGTTAAACAGAGGTACCCTATGATCCAGCAGTTCTTCTCCTAGGTACACAAATAAGAGAAACGAAAACACATCCACATAAAAACTGGTGCACACACGTTCACAGCAGCATTATTCACAATAGCCAATACTGGAAGCCACCCAAATGTCCACAACTAAGGAACAAAATGTGGTATATCCATATAAGGAACTATTATTCAGCCACAAAAAGGAATGAAGTACATTCATTCATGTTACAACACGGATGGAATTTGGAACATTACTCTAAGTGAAATAAGCCAGACACATATATTCTATGATTCTATTTTTATGAAATGTCCAGAATAGGCAAATCCCTAAGAACAGAAAGTAGAAATCCATAGACTAGGGTTAGAGGAAATGAGGAGTGATGATGGTTAATGGGTATGGGCTTTTTTTTTTAAAAGAGAGAGTACCATGTGCGCAGGCGTGGTTGGAGGTGGGAGGAGGGGCAGAGGGAGGGGGAAGGAGAGAATCCTAAGCCCGCTCCGCGCCTCACTCCCAGTTTGATCTGATGAAATGGTTATGGGCTTCATTTGGGGGTGACGAAAATGTTCTGGAATTAAATAGTGGTGATGGTTGCACAGCTCTGTGACTATACTAAAAGCCACTTTATTGTAGACTTTAAAATGAATGTTACAGGGCGCCTGGGTGGCTCAGTCGTTAAGCGTCTGCCTTCGGCTCAGGTCATGATCCCGGGGTCCTGGGATCGAGTCCCGCATCGGGCTCCTTGCTCAGCACAGAGCCTGCCTGCCACTCCCCCTGCTTATGCTCTCTCTCTCACTCTCTCTGTGTCAAAAAAAAAAAAAAAGAATGTTACAGCATGTGAGTTATACCTCAATAAAAAATAATAGAAGAGGTAGTATAGCCCTCAGAAAAAGAACTACTAGGTCTGAATATTGGTCTTAGTACAGATCTCACGTTACTGAGTTTTATCTAACTCCACTGTACCTTCATGTCCTCTTTCGTAGTACCGGGAGGATAATAACCACCCTGCTTGCTGTTCCCAAGTCTCTGGGGGAAGACAACATAAAATGCTGGATGTGAAATTGGACTTTAAGAGTTACAGACCAGGGCGCCTGGGTGGCTCAGTTGGTTAAGCCACTGCCTTCGGCTCAGGTCATGATCCTGGAGTCCCTGGATCGAGTCCCGCATCGGGCTCCCTGCTCGGCAGGGAGTCTGCTTCTCCCTCTGACCCTCCTCTCTCTCATGCTCTCTGTCTCTCATTCTCTCTCTCTCAAAATAAAAATAAAATCTTAAAAAAAAAAAAAAAGTTACAGACCAATAAAGGGACCCCTTGATCTAGGGGAGGATGGCACAGATCTCGGTGGTTAAGATTACATACACGTATGTTCTGTTCTATCGACTGTTCAAGATGCTTTCGAAAACGTTACTTTGTTTGATTCTTACAGTTCGTAGAGGTAAACGAGGTAGTTAACGTTATTTTACCCTTTGCTCCACGAAGAAACACGGGTTAAAAGACCTAAACCGGTACCCCATAGCTTAAACAGGAATCCTAGCCTTCTGATTCCAATGCCCCCATATCCCCTTCGACTTCACAGTCCAACTGCGTTGAACGGGCCCTCAATCTCATGTGGAGCCAAAGGCTCCTGTTCTGAGAATCCCTGGCAGCTTCAAGAACGGCTGGAAAACATCAGAAACAACAGGAGACCCTGGATCGTTCCATTTTTCCTTCCCGGGGCCCATTTCTCTCGACTCACAAATGCATCAAGCAGATCGGGTAAGAAGTAGGATAGTCAGAGATTATTCAGGTCTGAGCGCCTCGAACTTTCTTGACCCTGGAATTCTTCACTCAAAAAAGGATTATCCCCAACCACTTGTGGAAAGGATAACCGCAGAGTTCTGGTCCCGGTCACACAGCTCTATGGGCGGGCGGGCTGGAACAAGACGCCGGATCTCCTGCAAACCCCTCCCTCTACCACTCCTTCTCACCTCCTTCCTCCGGCATTTGGGTCCCACCGCCTCCCAGCAGTTCTCTGAGCCCCGGCCGCGCTCTGCAGGCCTGCTCTGACTGCTCCCGGCTTGGACCCTTCTTCTCTCCGGCCTCTCCCCTCAGAGGCCGGGTCTGAGCCTGCGATGCTGGGCCCTGGGAGCTCGGGTCGTGCCCGTCCAGCCAGGTCTCTCAGCGTTCCCAGCGGCAGCCAGGCCTCGCGGCTCAGGAGTCCGTGGAGCAACCACCAGCCCGGTCTCAAGCAGAACGCCGCAGGGAAAAACCCGCTGCCGGCTACTCCAGAACGCTACAGGCTCCCAGCTCGAACTCAGAAACCGCCGCCGCAGCCACTACCAAACACCAGGCCCAGCTCCCGTGCGTCGCTCCAATAGCGCCACTTCCGGTCATGCGTACGGATCTCCCCGCCCCACCGGACTCCATTTCCCAGAAGTCTCCGAGCTCAGCTCCTGGCCAAAACCTATTTCTCTATGCCAGGTTTGTGGCCTATACACCCTTGTGGACCGTACTTCACAGAGAAGGCTCCGCCTGTTCTTGATCCCGGAATCTCTTATTTCTCATGCTTTGTCCACATGCCATTCAGGTCCACCGAAATCCCACGGCGGGAGCCTCTGAGGCGGAAAGCAACTTGGCCGCGAAGGATCCTGGGAGCTGCGGTTCTAGCGCAGGCGCAGACCTACGCTGGCGGTGGAGGCTTCGTTTCTGCTTAGTTCTCCTCCGTAGATCGGAGTCCCGGAATACTGGGGTCGCGGGGGTCCTCCCGTAACGCGACCTTCAGCTCAGGGCCTAACTCTAACCACCTTCAGGGTTCTCCAGCCTTTCGGAAGTTTGGGAAGAGGAAAGGGAAGGAGGGAGGGCCCCTCAGTGTGAGCAGGGCAGCCACAGGTTGGTGCCCTGGAACTCTCAGAATATAAAAACCTATCCGCAGGAGGGAACGTCTTCAGTAATTTCAGGGGTAGAAGCCCTGAATAGGGTTAATAGTGTTCCATAAGCACTATTGCGGGAGGAGATTCGTAAATATTCTATCCCTTGGAGCCTTCCGTGCTGTGCCAGAGGATATTTCAATGGGCTTCCTTAGAGCACTGATGACATTTTCCCCTCTTGCCTGTTGAAAATTATTCACTACTCCAGCGATTTTCTGATCACTAATTCAGTTTTGAGGCATTTTGACGTTAAGAAGATGGGAATGCGTTACCTGGGAAGCAGAAAAGAGTTTGGGGGTCCTAAGGCCTCTTTTCATTTTGTACTGTCTGTCCCTTTCAGCCGCAGCTGGTAGCGTTTTTTGCCAGTAGAATTATCTTAAGTTTGTGGGTCTTCTATGAATCTTGTTGGGATTCACTCCATTAGACAAGCCAACCCACAGCTCTCTTTGAGATAAGATCTTTTCTACCTTGGGCTGCTGCAATTTGGGGCTTACAACTTTGGAAGCCAGACGTCTGAGATGGATATCCTTGGGCTAAAATCAAGGTGTGGGGAGGGCTATGTTTCTCCTGGAGGCTCTAGGGGAGGATCACTTTCCTTGCCTTTTCCAGCTTCCACAGGCTGCCTGCCTTCCTTGGCTCCTAAGCCCCTACAGTTGGTGCTGTTCTGCCCATGGCCACAGGCCCAGCAGACGCTAGCCCCATAATGGCCAGTCGGCAGTAGCGGTATTCCTTCATCTTGGGATCCCAACCAGGGCCACTGGGAGGTAGCAGGGTGCTTCACTCCTCAACAGGTGCAATTCCGCCTATGGGCACTGGGTGGCGTTAGGGCCTTCATTGCCTCAAGAATGCAGAAGCCAGGGTTCTCCTGGACGTTCTGGGGGCAGGGATTGGACGTGGAGTGGGTGTGGGGTGCGGTGCAGATTTTTACCCTGGGGTAAAGCACAGCTTCTGCTGCTGTACCTGTCCTTCGGGGATGTTCCATCTGCCCTCCATGGTCCTGTGCTGGGCTTCTGGGGCAGATTGAGGGCTGTCAGCTGGGGGTGGCTCTGGTCCCTCAAGCATCTTGTGCTCTGATGAGGAGGCCCCAAGGAAGTCTTAGGGAACCTCTGAAGAGTGTGTGTGTGTGTGTGTGTGTGTGCAGTCATTAGTAGCTGTAAATGGATGCTGGTAGCAGAGATGGTATGAGTAGGAGTTGCTGAGAAATCAGGGTAGGAAATAGAATATGAAGAGAAAAATGTGTAAAGATTTCACATATCCCTTTGAGGCACCCCTTGAGCATCACACCTTGCATGCAACTCCCAACCTTCGTCACAGCCTCACCACCAGCAGCAGCTGACATCGATTGAGTACTTATTCTGTGTCCTCCTTAGTTCTAGGTGCTTTACATACTTCTCTCCTTTCATCCTCACAACAACCCCATGAGGGAGATGGCGACAGATGAATAAACTGAGGCTTAAAGAAGTTAAATGACTTGTCCAGGTCAGGCAGGCAGTGAGTAGTATAACCAGAATTTGAACTAAGCCCACTGCCTCTTAACCACTATGATGCACAGGCTCCTAGACCCTGGGTTATGGAGGAAAGAGGCCAAGGTAGAGTTGAAGCAGTGGCATTTTCCTTGCCCACAGGTTTAACTGTCTCTACTTCCATCGTCAACATCACCTCCAGTCTATCCACCTCACGTCCATCTCTTCCACATCACCTCCATCTCTATTTTCTGTCTCCATCTCTATCACCATCATCTTTCCCATCCCCATCATCTCTCTCATCTCGTTCTCTCATCTATCACCTCTATTTCTCATCTCTCCTCTCTTCCATCTCTCTCATCTCCCTCTCTAATTCTAGATGTCGTAGCAGAATTATCAATAAGCAGAAAGCCAAAAACAATCTGAATATGGAACAATGTGAGCTTGATTTAAGTTCTGACATATTTATACAACAAAATCCTCTTAATTTGTTGAATTTAACAAATATTTAAGCACCTGCTCTTTACCACACACTATGACTCCCGTGGCAAACAAATCGTTCAAAGAATGCAGAGAGCTTCCATTTCAAGCTGGTGGACTGAACTTACACATTTCCCCTTTCTCTTCCTCTAGTTCCCACTGAAACGACAGTGAAGATACGTAAAGGGAACAAAAACCATAACAGAACTGAGAAGAGGTGCAGAGGTAGGGGGCATATACCAGCCACTGTCATTAAAACCCCCTAGTTCTTCATTCCTAAATATGGACAACCAAAGCTCCCCAGATCCTTGAGATAAACCAGCAGCATAGAAGAGAAGGACCAAGACAACCTGATTCCAGAGGAAATCAGAGCCTAGGGGACAACTTTCAAAAAATTAAAATGTGCAAATGGTTTTATTCATAATAGCAAATACCAAGTGTTGTTGAGGATGGGGAGCAACTGAAACTCTTCTGCGCTGCTCATGGGAAAGCAAAATGGTACAACGATTTCGGAAAACCATTTGGCAGATTCTTAGGGTGTAATTAAACATAAACTTAGCACAGGACCCAGGAGTGGAACTGTATGCCAGTGTTTACAGCAGCTTTAGTGATGACAGCCCCAATTGGAACTCGCCCAAATGTCCAATGGAACACTACTCAACAGCTAAAAGAAATGAACTGCTGGTGCATGCAGCGCAGATGCATCTTAAAAGCACTCTGCTATGGGGCGCCTGGGTGGCTCAGCCGGTTAAGCGTCTGTCTTCGGCTCAGGTCATGATCCCAGGGTCCTGGGATCGAGCCGGCAACGGGCTCCCCAGGGAGCCTGCTTCTCCCTCTCCTGCTGCCCTCTACTTGTGCTCTGTCCCTGTCAAATAAATAAGTAAAATCTTAAGAAAAAAAATAAAAACAACACTGCAAAGTTACGGAGGCCAGACGCAAAATACTACAAACAATGTGATTCCATTTTATCAAAGTTTAGAAAACACAAAGCTATAGAGACAAGACTGACTGCAGAGGGACATGAAGGAACATTTTGGGGGAGGAAAATGTCCTATATCTTGATTGTGTGGTGGGTACAAAGTTGTGTATACATCCGAAAACTCAACTACAATTGTTGAGTTTTATAGTATGTATCTGAATTTTATGGTATGTAAATAATGCCTTGATAAAGTGAATTTTTAAAATATATTTTTTTAAAGATTTATTTATTTATTTGAGAGAGCGAGAATGAGAGAGAGTACATGAGAGGGGGGAGGGTCAGAGGGAGAAGCAGACTCCCTGCCGAGCAGGGAGCCCGATGCGGGACTCGATCCTGGGACTCCAGGATCATGACCTGAGCCAAAGGCAGTCACTTAACCAACTGAGCCACCCAGGCGCCCTTAAAATATTTTTAAAAGTGAATGTGTGTATCCTCAGGGAAACCCCAAAATGCATTTCCATCACAAAGAAAAGTATGGGATACTATGAAAAAGGAATATACAGTACGATATAATTGAAAATCATTGTCAAAGCACCAATCAAAAAAAAAGGCTGGAGTGGTGATACTGATAACAGACAAAGTAGACCTCAGAACAAGAGATATACCACGGACAAAGAAGGTCATTTCATAATGCTAAAGGACAAAAACAATCAGAATATAACAATCCCAAATGTGCACGCAGCGAGCCATGAGCTCCAGGGTACATGAAGCAAAACACAGCAGAAGTGCAAGGAGAAACAAATCCACATTCATAGGTGGAGATTTCCACACTTCTCTCGTGAGGTGGGCACATGGTGGGACTGCACAATTCAGATTCTGAATAAAACAGATCACGGAGTGGGAAGTGTGATGTCCTACTTGTGTATAGTGATGCTAGAAAGGATATGTGTTGGGAGGGAGATCTTTCAGGATAGAGCCAAATTCTTAAAAGAAGTTAACTCTGGAAAGGTACAGCTGTGAATAATTATTGTATCATTTATCCAAATAAATGAGTTACTACTTATAAAGTGCTTAGGGCAATGCCTAGCAGACAGTTAACTGCTATACAAATAACTATACTAAATAAATCTAGGTTTTTCAGTTTTCCTACAATAAACATGTATTACTTATATAGTGGATAATAAAAGCAACCTGTAAAAGACTTCTGGCTCCATTAAAGTCAATAGAAAAAGAGATGCTTTTTCGTTGTTAATGAGATTTGATGGCTAATGATCCAGGGGACTGGGCCCAAGGAAGGAGCCAGAAATGACCTCCAAGAGCCAAGAGGTAGCCTGGCAGACCATGAGAAAAAGGAAATCATAGATGTTCTTGGCAAGGCCCAGTTTGTGGGAGGCCTACTTTAGGGAAGGGATCGGAAAATACCCTTCTCAAACACACAAAGAGGCCATGACCTGATTTTTCTGAGTCAAATCTTTATTTGGCAAACAAAGCTCCTTCCTGATAACGCAGCCACGGAGAGGAGAAACCAGGGACCACCCCTCAAAAGCATCTCCTCCAGAAAAGGAGGAGTCGAGAGTCTCCCTCCTCTGCTGTTGCTTTCATGGTGAGATGGAGATGGCCTGTGGACGAAGGACCACAGGGCAACAAGGCCCCTCCAGGATGTTCCCTCCTCCGGAGTCACA